CAATAGACTAGCACTCAACTATAAGCAAACCCCAATTACGTGCTTTCTTCTATAAGACTGTCTTGGTCATGGTGTCTCTTCTCAGCAGTAGGACACTAAGACAGTACCTAACTGACACGGATTATTTTAAAGATTAACTGAGTTAATGTAGGCTGTCACTTATTAGTGATATGAATGAGTAAGTGATGGTTAATGAGAGATTGCTGTCATTGTTTTAGGCTGCAGTTCATATAGAGTTTTTCCCCCGGAGATCCCTCATGGAAGCCCAAAACCATGGATAATATCAAACCCTACACATATGAAGATATTACATACATAATAAATATATTTTCATAAGCACATGTACTTGTGCTAAAGCAATTGATAAATTAGGCACACCAAGAGATGAACAGCAGTAACTAATAACAAAATGTGACAATGTTAACAGTCAGGGAGAAGTTGGTTACCTGTAGCTGGAACTTCAGAAGGGGGACTAATATGGAATGAAGCTGTGGACTACCAGAACATTCTTCCTCTGCCTAGTCAGAAGCTGCCACGTAATCTTGCCACTCAGAACAAAGGTTCTTTCTTGGAGGAGTAAAAGAAGGTCAGAGGGCTGGAGAGATAGTTCAGTGGTTAAAAACACTGGCTGCTCCTCCGCAGGACCCAGATTTGGTTCCTAGCAGCCACGTGGTGACTCGTAACTGTCTGTGACTCCGGCTCTAGGGGATCTGATTCCCTCTTCTGGTCCCTAAAGGCAGCAGGCATGCATGGAGCACACAAGCAAATCATACACAAGTCACAATGTGTCCCCTCCCCAGTCCCCACATTGCCAGGGGTCTGCCTTTGTGTCCCTGTGCCCGGTTCTTCTGCCCAGACCCTGCTTCTGCTTGCTCCCGGAGCCCTGCAGGGGCCTTGAAGAGTGGCACACTGACCATTGCTTTGTTTCATAAACATCAGGGTCAAGAATGAGAGACCCTGAGAACGCAGCTCTGCGCGCAGAAAGCTGATGGCCATGAGCTTCCAGAGGCCATACTCCTGCATATTTATTGACCCGGCAGGCAGCAGAACGAGCCTGTTTTGCTTTATGTGCAAAACTTTACTCTCGGGCCAATTTTCTGGTGCCCCCAATGACAAATTACAAAATGAAATAGAAGTATCAACAACGGTACTTTATCCCTGGAATACATCTTCCAAGAGCTCGACCGGCCGTGTTGACCTTTCCTAGCCTGAACCCAAGCTGTCACCAATGTTAAATTACTTTCTAAATCAGAGGCGAACTTTACATCATAAAATGCCATTCATAGCCACATCAATCCAGTCTGAGATCTGCATTGCTCTCTCGACCCAGAATCCTAGATATCCACAATTCACAGTTCGACCAGCTTTGCTCTATCAATATGCCTCACCCAATGGGGTATCACACTAATAGATTACTGGAGCTGCCGCCCACCACATTGATGTATAAGTGCAATATGTTAGGCAAGCCCCCACTCACCTGGATGATGGACTGTGGCAATGGTCCTCTCAGGAAAGCGTGCTGGTGATGGATGGCCCATAAGTTCAAATTGGGTTCAGTTTAGCTTGTAGAGACAAAGAGAAGCAACCTAGGTCCCACCAGGACCCGCCAAGCCCCATGTTTACAGGCAAGAAGGCGGCTGTTCACACGCAAAGGCCTGCACTCAGATACCCCTGCCTGAGGCATGATCATTCCTGACTCCTGTCAATGTCCTGGAGCTAGGATCACTCTGTGGACATGTGATACATTGTATAACACAATTACTAAAAGGAATCGCACAAGGATGTCCTTTTGGAAACTGTTAACTGCCCCTAGTTTCTTTTCCATGGTCAGACACCCTGACAAAAGCCAATAAAGGCCCAGCTTATTCGGCTACCTTTAGGCTACAGTTATCATTGTGGATAAGTCAAGGCTGCAGGAGCCAGAAGCAGCTCTGCATTGGTTCCCAGTCAAGAGCAGAGAATGATGAATTAATACACGCGTTAGTGCTTAGTTCACTTTCTCCAACTTATACAGCTCAGAATCCTCTGCCAGGGACTAGTGCCACTCAAGACAACCTCACTCAGACATGCACACAGGCCAACCTGACCCAGACGATCCCTGAGTGAGAGTCCCTTCCCAGGTGACTCTAAATGGGCCATCTAGATAATTAAAACCAACCATCACATTGCATAGCCTTGGCTGTCACTCTATAGATCAGGCTGGCCTTGAACTCAGATCTACCAGTCTTTGCCGCCCAAGTGCTGGACTACAGGCATGCGCCACAACGGCCATGATCTTGTTTATATAACAAGGTTTTGCAGCTAGCTATGGAAAGGCTAACATTTGCTCGTCACCTACCATTGGCCATTCTTCCTGTCTCCCACTTAGTGACTGCGTAGTCCATGAAACAGCGGGACTTTTCCTTCTGCAGACGAGGAACCAGAGATGAGGCAGCTAGCTAGCTCCTCGAGGTTGCGAAGCCTGTATTGCCTGAGATGCAGCTTTCAAATGTGTAAAAAAAAAAAAAAAAAAAAAACCATGCAAAGCACTTGCTCAACAGGGAAGTAAGTGTTTCATGCTCAACCACCTCAAGGAAACGAGAGGGCTGATGGGGGACGGCCTTCTGTGTATGTTTCTCTTGTTGGGTGATGAATAGAGCACTGATTGGCCAGTAGCCACACAGGAAGTGTAGGCGGGGCTACCAGATGAGAATTCTGGGGAGGCGCCATGTAGTGGCCAAAGGAGTAACATGCTGGAGTGTTCTCTGGTAAGATAAGGCCATGTGGAAATACACAGATTAATAGAAATGGGTTAATAATTAAGAGAGAGAGATAGCCAGTAAGAAGCCTGAGCCATCAGCCAAACCGTTTATAATTTTAATATAATTCTCTGTATTTATTTGGGGCTAAACGGCTACGGGGCCAGGCGGGGCACAAACTTCCATCCACAGGGGATAGGTTGTAGCTCAGTGGCGGAGTGCCTGCATTCAGTCCCCTGGCTCCAGAAGTGGCCCAGTAACCACAATGATTTTAGCATTTGTTTACTGTTTCCTATTTATTTGATTTGCAAAGTAGGATATTGGCCAGGCAGAGAACTACTGTGACATTTTTGAAGTGGATGAGAAGAATTCAATAAAAAGGAGGCAATTCTGAAGCTCACAGGATTTATTAAAGCACTCTCTTTACGACACTTTCCAGTGCACATGATTCTAACAGCAACATACTTTACCCATTCACTCAAATACAGTACAACTTATCCAGCATAAATATAAATAAGCTTGCAAGCATACCCCAAACATTGCCGAGGACAGACGTGAGTGAGTCTAGACACTGGTGGGATTTGGGGTGTGCACTATGGCCCCGCCCAGCGCTCAGGAAGTGAAGGCAGCAAGATAACAGGGCAGGGCCACACTGGGCCACCCAGCAGGCCCATGTCTCAAGGACAGGAAAAACTGACAGAGAAGGGATGGAGAGAGTAAAGATTGCAGCAAGGTGTAATCTCCAGCTAATTCTGGCACGTTGCTGAGTTCGAGGAAGTACAGGCTTCAGGACAGACGGGTCCTTCCTTCTGTGCATTTCAGTTTGTCAGACAGTAACTGAGGGCTGCTTGCCAGAACACTGACTGATCCACAGTGAACCTCAGGAAGAAAGCACAGTGTCAAAAACAGAAGGCGGCAAATGGACACCAATCGTGTGCGTTGCTCCGGGAGACAGGAGTGATGTCCCCAGGGTGGCTCGGCTTACGGTGGCCCGGTGACCACACCCCAACGTTTCACAGTCCCAAAAGCAGAGGTGTCGCTGTACGCTACTCTACAGTCCCTCCCCAGAGAAAAGGACAGGTGTACTCAAGCAGTAAGCATTGACAAGTAGCGTCCACAAGTGAAGGGGTCAGGCTAGGACTCCGGAGAATTTCCCTTCAGGAGCTGCTTAGGTCACCCAGGCAAAGATGCTAAGTATCTTCTTAAATCACACATATTCTTTTTTTGTTTGTTTGTTTGTTTTTTTAAGATTTATTATGTATGAAGTGTTCTGCCTGTATGTATGCCGGCAGGCCACCAGATCTCATTGTAGATAGTTATGAGCCATCACATGGTTGCTGGGAATTGAACCTCTGGAAGAGCAGCCAGTGCTCTTAACCACTGGGCTCTCTCTCCAGCCCAAATTACACATATTCTTGTGGTCAAAAAATGTTATACTATTTCCTTAAGTTAAACTCTAAAGCAGGTAGGAATTATCTTTATTGCTTGATTGTAGATGAAGGGGTTTTTAAAGCTGTGAAATGCAGTGAGGATCTTTAATCTCCATTGAACATGTAAACAAATTACCCTTTAGCAGAGCAAGCACTATCGAAAACGGGCCAGCCTCTGATCCCCCATATGATGCTACTTTTAAATTTTATGAATATAGCCCCCATCATGGAACACAGACAACACAGTAAATCATGATGTTATCTGGTCATACATTAATATGTAATTATATTATCTTTACGTGGTTACAGCTGGAAAAGATACAAACCTCACATGAATTACTGAAGATGGCCAACAGTTAACCATTTGACAGAGTCGTGGTAAGCTGCCGTAGTTAAACTTGGGTTGAGAACTCCACCATAAACCTAACCCTCTATGCTGTATTTGAGGCAGAGAGTGCACAGGCCCAACGTAACCAACTGTTCAGATTTCCATTCATGAGGAAATACACATCTGCAAACAACTACTGAACCAGGCAGAGACAGTATACCAGGGCTCAAGGTAAGCATTTAAAATTCAAGGCAACGAGAAACTGGAGACAGTCTCGCACGTGGTCCTGAGACCTAATTCACTCTGGTGCCACGGTTCCGGCATGGTAAACTCCTAGTTTGAAAGTGGTCTGCTTGGAAGATTCTGAGCACACACGGAGGCATTTTGAAACCAGGACTCCATACTGTTTGTATAATCCACACACCCGGCAGGAGGCTACCCATGGACACGGACTCTAAGCATTGCACACGTCTCTTTTTATGTTCTCCTGTGTGAGGAAAAGCGTCACCGAGCGCTCTTTTTGGTCATGAATGGTCACAAGGTGCGTATGCAAAGTTTCACACCCACTGAATCCTGTTGCGGGTACAGCCCCGAGAGGACGCCGCTGGGCCCGGGCCCGGGCCTGGGTCTCTGTGTAGGTCACAGGCCTGTGTTGACACATGCCCGCTGCTGTCAGCCACGCTTGGCTCATGCTGTTCTTCCTTGCTGTTTTGGTTACAAGATTCCTGGGGTTTGCACAAACCAGGTCTTTCTCCATGTTCAAAACACGAGAGGAGTGATTTGGCCAGAGCTTCTAGCTCTCCATAAGCAGCCCGAGGTACTTTATCCCTGTGGCTGCCGGCAGAAGCAGAAGGCTCAGTGACGTCACTGTGAAGTTTGTGAGCCAGGCTGCAGAGAGTTTCAGTGCAGCTTCTGAGGCAGTGCAGGTCACTGGGGCACCCTACGCAGACAGAAAGGACAAGTGGGTTACCCTTCCCAGGTGCCAGCAGGTCTTATCATTGCGTACACTCCAGGCCGCTTAGGTGACACCCCAAACCACTGACCCAAACCCTGCTCAAGTGCCTCTTGGACACCTGGTACTCCACCTCCCTGACTGTGCAGGCGGAAGTACAGACTTGTGCTATGCGGAACTTAACAGCCCAAGCTCCTACACTGGTAACTAATCTCAATGGAGTAGTGGTCAGTGAGCTGTAGTCACAGCTCAGGCTGTGAGAGACGAGGCATGTGTGGGTCCTTGGATTACACAGTTCCAGGTCCAGATCCCACTGGGGCACATACCGCTCAGCGCAGATGTAATAATCTCAATGGTTTTCTCCAAACAATATTTTAACTTCAAGAATTCTGATGGGAGAGTTAGCATCTTGGAACCTTGTTGTCTAGAATTTTCTTGTATTTGAGTTCTGAAGTTTTTCTGTATAAACAAAATTAATATTAAAAAAAATAGATATTATATACTTCATGGCAGCCAATTTAGTCAAAATGATCTTAATTGCCCAGAAATTTATCATTAAAGTAGTTTATGCTATTATGTACAATGGAACTACATCAGTAACAGATTATACTGAAAATGTTCAATTTCCTCACCAGTACATAACTTCATTTCTAAATGAACACTGATTACTTTTAAAAAGCAGTAAAAATTTAATTCTAACTTAATTTAAATTATGGCTGTATCATCCTAGCACATACGAGCATAATGAAGCAGGGCGTAACAGAATCTAACAGCACAAAAGCTGACGCTCAGCTTCAAAGAATTCCGTTTACTTAAATACTCTTCGACGTGGGCATTGCTTTCCCTCCCAGTACCCGATTACGCCCTCCATCCTTTTCTATAATGTGGGCTCTGTGACGTGACACTGCTTGAATTCAACTCTGTTTGACGCTATTTGAGCTCATTAACGATGAAATGTGGTTTTTAGCCTATAACGGCTATACTCAAGCAAAAGCTGGCAGCACTGGGAAATCCCTGTGCCATCGTGGACCTGTTACTAACACTAGTGCATCAAGACTGCCCAGAGGGAGACTAGAAAACAAGTGCGCTCCGTAACACACACGACATAGCCATCCGTCTCCAGCTGAGACCGAAGGAAATACAAAGGTCTCCAAGTGAACCAAACGAGATGAACAGGACAACAAGCCTCTTACTAGTCTCCATTCGGCAAAGATGTCCGCAAGAGACCCGACCAGTTCCACAGCATTAGCCTTCATCCGCTCGGTGACCTGCAGACAATGTTAAAACCCTTTGTTATAGAAACCATCAAGAAACACATCGTTTTTAGACCTGTGTGAGACCAGGCGGAGAAGTTCTGGTCTACGATCCAGCAGAGATGGAAGCTCCACCTCTAAGGTAAGCAGAACGTGGCTTGAGAGTACTTAAATCATACAGATGGAATTTCCTTAGAAACAAATGATACATTGATTTCCGTATCATATCAAAAGGGCCACACTTGGGCTCAGCAGGCGCAGCCACTTGCCACGCAAGCCTGTGAACCCAGGCTGCTCCTGGAACTCCTCATGCAAAGGTGTGCAGAATGAACTGACTTCTCAAAGCTGTCTTCTAACTTCCACATAGATGATGTTATATGTAGGTCCCCACATGCACAATACAATAATTATAAAATGTAAATAACAATAAAATATAAATATATTATAGGTATGTTACAAACATTATATTTTATAAATTATATAGTAATATGTAAATTTATTATAAATTAGTATAACTATAATATAAAGCTGATGTCTTCTATCAAAATGATACCTGCATTTTACTTAAATATTTATATGGATGAACTTCCCAAAATTTCCCTTAGAAGTGAGGGTTTGAGCTGTGAAACAAATATGAGATGTTCCTAGAACATTACAAGTTTGATCCGAGTATCTGTTACACCCTTATGCATAAGGCATTTCCCATCTTGCAGACTGAGAATCACATCCCAGATGATAACCCTTAGATTAAATAGAAAAGTTGCTTTCTGCTGCTCACTGCTGCCCCCCTCAGGTGGAGCCAAGCATCTGCAAGGGGATTCTGTGTTGGTTTAATTGGCTTTCACTAAGCTGTAGTCTAGGTCAGCTCAAACTTGCCGTTACAGGAAGAAGAGAAGTCGGCCATGCAGTGAGAGGCCAGGGGATTACTGTAAGGTTCAAGCCAGTCTGGATGACAAAGAAAGTTCCAGGCCACCCAGAGCTCCCAAATGAAGAAAAGAATTTAGGCACACCTAAATTCTTTACTTCATGGACCCAGCTTTGAATCATAATTCCAGTGCCTTCTATGAGTCTATTTGCTATTTCTCTTATAGTTCTACTTTCTGCTATAGGTCCTTTAAAAAAATATAGTGCAGTTCTGTGTGTGTGTGTGTGTGTGTGTGTGTGTGTGTGTGAACACCATACAGTGCCCATAGACCAGAAGAGGGTGTGAGGTCCCCCGGAGTTCAGGTGGCTGTGAGCTGCCTGCTGTGGGCGCAGAGATTCAAACCCCAGTTCTCTGGGACAGCAGTGAGTACGCTCGTCTGCCCGGCCACCACTCCAGCCCGCCATAGGCTCTTACGACTTTTGTTTTTGCTTTTCAAGACAGGGTTTCTCTGTGTAACAGTCCTGGCTGCCCTGGAACTCACTCAGTAGACCGGGCTGGCCTCGAACTCACTGAGATCCTCCTGCCTCTGCCTCCCCAGTGCTGGGATTAAAGGTGTGCGCCAAAACAAATGAGCAAAACACATAATCGAGAGAGGCAGACGTATTCAGAGAATGCAACATGTACAACAAGCAAGACCAGTAATTTTTCATTTGGCAGTCACTGTTTCTAATATTTCTTTTTTTTTTTTTTAATTTTTAAAAATTTTATTTTATGTGCATGGGTGTTTTGCCTGAGCATGTATCTGTGGACCACATACGTGGCTGATGCCCTTGGAGGGCAGGATAGGGGTCAGATCCCCGGAAACTGGAGTCAGACTGCTGTGTGGGTGCAGCCCTCCATCCCTGCCCCTGCTCCTGCTTCGGGGTCAGGTGTCTGACGTCACTGATCGACACCGGGTGTCTGACGTCACTGATCGACACCGGGTCTGTATCTGTGTCATGGTGTGAAACCATTGATGTGAATGTTCCTGGAAAAACACTTAGTTCAAGATGATTGGATCTGTAAGTGCTGGCTCCTGCTTTTAGGTAGAGGAGAAAAACCCAAGAGAAAGACAGAGAAGGACATTCAGAGAGTGGACAGTAGGTGTCACTGCCATCCTCCGTATGGCTCAGGAACTTCAGAGACATGGTCTCTGCCTCTTCTTTAAAAAACTAAGTCACTAAAATACACAAATACACAACATGTAAAGATAGAACCCAATGTATCACATGATTATTTGTACATTTAAAGTAGCTTGGACAATATACATCCTGAAATAAACCTCCCTGACGATGAAGCCTGCCACCCATCATACCTCCTCGTGTGCACTCTGCCTTGAGAGGTCTCGCTCCAATTCCTGTGCCTTTTCCAGCCCGGAATCTAGGAGGCTTTCCAATCCCAAGGCTACGCCGTCCTGGAGGGCAGCTGTGAACTCCTGTTAGGAAAAGGTTTAGGCACTGAGCTGGTAAGCTCAGGTTTTACACACTGACATTGTTTTTACACTTTGTGTGTGTGAGACAGACAGACAGACAGTGTACATGGGGTCACAGGACAACGTGTAGGAGTGGCTCCTCTCCTTCTACCAAGTGGCTCGAAGAAATGGACTGAGGAATCAGGCTTGATGGCTGGTACCTTCCCCACTCTGCCATCTCATGGGCCTGGTTTTACACACTCCTCAAAATTATAAGGTAATGAAGATATAATTCATTCCCAGTTTACTAAATTCAGCTAAAGTTATTATAAGAACAATCTACGGGGAAATAAAATTAGTATTCCATGTGCTGTGAAAAGAACGTCCATTTAGGTAGGACCTTATTTGATAGGTTAGAATACATTTTAAAATAGTATAGTTTATATTAATAAATAATTAATAAAAATAAGGTGGGCAAATACAAATGTTCTACAATGTATAAACCGGATGAGACCACACTCCACAGTTGATAGCAGTCATCAAACCACAGAACAAAAGGAGCATCTTTGATGCTTCTGAGGTTGGTCTCACTAGCCCAAGTTGTCCCTGTTCAACCCCTAAGTGCTGGGCAAGCGCTCTATCCTGAGCCTCAAAACGATCCTTTGTTTTCTGAGACAAGGTCATGCTGTCCTGGAACTCACTATGTAGTTCAGGATGGCCTTGAACTCACAAAGATACACCTGCCTCTGCCTCCTGAGTGCTGGGACTAAAGGTGTGTGCCACCATGGCTAGCTCCAAAAGGATTGTAAACATTTTAATCATTTTTGCTTGTTAGTTTAGAAAGTACTCATGTAACCCAGGCTGGCCTCAATAGCCAAGAGTGACCTTGTCCTTGTGACCCTCTCGTCTGCCTCCCATGGGTGGACTACAAATGTGTACTGCCACATCCTTTATACAGTGCTAGAGCTCAAACTCATGCATGCTGTCCTAGCCCGATTTTATCCAGGGTTGGCCAAAAGGATGGCAAGTCATTTCCAAACTATTAAAAGTACAAGGTATTTTGATAAAAAGAAATGAGCTTCTTCTGTGCAGTGATGCTATCAGGAGTCTCTAACATCCCCACAGAAGTCTTTCGGAGCTAACGTTAGACATTACCTGGGTACTGGGAATCTTGTTGCTGTTCTCCAGAAGACAGAGCGTGCTCCCTTTCAGAACAGCTAGCTGACCCACACACTGAACAGCCTGCTGTATAATCTGGATGACTTTGTTTTGAGCCTCTTGTACCATCGATGAAATATCCGAACAGCACCCCTATGAAGTAAAAATCGATCAGTCAGTGTATACATATATGAGATTTTTTAAGAGGTGATAAAGAAAAATGGGACAGTGGGTGAAGTTAGCAATCGTGAGGGGCTTTCCCCCCAAATAACAACGACAGAGCTGGCTGGAGAGATGGCTCAGTAGATTAAGGGCACTGGCTGCTCTGGTTCCCAGCACCCACATTAGGTAGCTCACAATCTTCTAGAAAGGAAATTCCAGAGGATCTGACACCCCCTCCTGAGCTCTGAGGGCATCGGGCATTTATGTGGGGCCTCAGGCATGCAAGCAGGAAATTCCCATACACATAAAAATGAAATTCATAAAATGACGACCACTGGAATGCTCGCGCAGCCCTGAAGCTATACAGCTATAATGTGGGCAAGAGCCAGCTTCTTCTCCCTCAAAGACTCGACACATTAAAGGGAGACGTAGAGCAAGCATGAAGTTAAACCCAAGGCAGGACTGGTAAGGAAATGTCAGGAAGGTCTTTCAGCTTTAACTGTCCTGATTACACATGATGCGCTCGCTTGGTGCCCAGGCCTCCAAGGCACAGGAGTGTTCCCTTGAAGGGTTCTTCTTTCCGGTCCTCCCTGATGGGAGATGTCATTCTGTATATGTTTCTCATACTGGTTAATAATAAAGCACTGTTGGCCAATAGGAAAGGAAGATAGGAGGGACTAGGAGACAAGGAGGAAATAGGAAGTAGTAAGGAGGAGTCAAGATGGAGAGTCTGGAGAGAGCTGGACGCCAGCCGCCTCCCCGGTAAGAGAAGGCCATGTGAAGATACATAGAAATGGGTTAATAATTAAAGGCAGAGCTAGCTGATAAGTAACAAGTAACCGGGCCAACAGTATTGTATCAAATACAGAGTCTCTGTGTGTTATTTGGGGCTGGTGGCGTGGTAGCAGGACAAGACCGGGCAGCAGGCGGAAAAACCGTACCCCTTACAAATGGCGCCCACGTGGCTAGTAAGAACTTCCACTTAAAATTTAACAAAAGCTTAAAAAAGGGTTTTAGAAACAAAAGAACAGAGATAAGCAAGGTTTCTTGGTAGCAGCATTTTTCTCAGTTGAACTCTGCTTTGCTAGAGACAAGCAGATATTCGCGCGGCTCCTTTAAGGGAAGATTCCTGACTCAGCTTAAGCGACAAAAAAAAAAAAACCGCACAGCTTTTAAATAACTCTGCTAACAATTTATTGGTGTGTATGAGAGATGGCAATGGCAGTGACCACATCTCCAAGCCGGCAGCATGCTTTCTGGGTGGCAGCGCAGACCAAGGCGGTGAGCACAGCTCTCAGTGCTGGCGGTAAAAGTACCCGCCACCATCTTTGGTAAACCGTGGCAGAAACAAATACTTTCATTTTAACAATGTTGTTGTTTAACAGATAAAGACTCATGGCCAGAAAAAGATAAAGATTTACAGTAGAGACAGATTCACATTAAGAAAAGGTGCTAAAAGTTTACAGTGTATTTTAAAAAAAAAATACATAGGCTTGGGAGAGAAAAATAAAATGGTTTTAAAGAGACAAAGAGGAACTGGGTGTTGTAGCACACGCCTTTAATCCCAGCACTCAGGAGACAGAGGCAAGCAGATCTCTGTGATTTGCAAAGTAAACCTGGTATGCAGAGTAAATTCCAGGACAGATAAGAGTTACAAAGTGAAACCCTATGTCAAAAAAATAAATAAATAAATAAATAAATAAAATTAAAATAAACAGAGCAATAATAAAGCCATGTAAAGATGAAAAGCTCAGAGAGAATCTGGTTACTGTATGCTGTTGTGTTGTCTCTGCATTGTTTGACTGCTGAGAAAATAACAACAACTGATAAAGGAAATGCTGCTGGATTAATTCAATTTATATATTTTAAAAAATGCTTTGACTCCAACATTTAAGTTCAAGGACAAGTTACTGGGGAAAAGGATTTCTATTTTTGTTTCCACAGAAAATGAAAAGCTATGGATTCCTTCCAGACTAATGTGGTTTGATCAAGCCAGGCCCCCTGAAACAGTCGCTGATGATCCAACATTCAAAACAGCTTGGACAAAGCAGCCTCGAAGACTACAGCCAAGATTTCTGCAACTTCTCAGGATCCCCCATGACAGCGCCCCCTGTCAGCAGGAAGTAGTTTGGAAAGAACGACGCCCAAATTCCCAAATATTGTTTATAAATGTTGGTTTTCATTTAAATGGGGTTGGTTATAAATGGTTAATGATCACAGCCAGTTCTTTTTAAAGGTAAAAAGGGAATTATGGTGTAGATATGAATACTTTGTATTGGAATGGATTTTCATTTACTGATACAATTTAAGGTCAATGTTCTGATATGTATATTTCTCTTCTTGTTTAGGTATTGTGATTATATAGTTCATTTAGAAATGTAATGTGTAATGTAGTACAGATTATAGATAATTACCTATGATAGTCAAAGCTTAGAGTTAAGTTAGTTAGGTTTTTCAAGATACACAGAGATGTATTTGAGATAGATAGGCATTCTTCAAACCTTTCAAAGACCTACAGAATATGGCATTTAAAATGGTTTAGGGTTTTCGTGACAGTGAGACATAATTGCTCTTGGCAATACCACCTGCAACAGAAAGGAAGATGGACATTGAAGAAACTCGTTATGGAGTTTGCTTTCAATATGGCAAGACTAGCCATTTGGACAAGATACTGCTCTTGTCTGGACTGTTTGACTTTGTGATGTATAAACTGGACATGCAGGACCCACAGGAAAGTGACTGCTGATTCAAGATGGACATTGCTACAGAGTTCCTGCTTCATGAAAGAGTCTGCAAGACAGTATGCAGGACACAGAGAAAAGTGACTGATAAACTGCCAATACAAGAAGACAGTTTAAAGTTTCCTGCATTGCTGAAGAGTCAGCTAGACACACTATGGCCTATGGGCTGAAGATGGAAGATTACAAAAGAACTTCGGGTGACCAGGCAGTGAATTGTTTCTGTCATTTCTAGAGTTTATATACTATCCTTCTGTAGTCTTTGAAGGAGTTGAAGACAGATAGTTATGGTTATAGTTTTCCTTAGTTAGGATTCAAAGATAAGTTACATATAGGACTTTAGACTCACAAAGATGGAATAGATGATGGAATAGTTTCTTAAATCTTGATAAATGTTAATGAACTAAATATTGTTAACTGTGATTCTTATTTGGTAACTGTTGTATTATATATTTTGCTATGTTAAGGTTGAAACCCTTTTTATTTAAACAGAAAAGAGGAGATGATGGGAGATGTCATTCTGTATATGTTTCTCATACTGGTTAATAATAAAGCACTGTTGGCCAATAGGAAAGGAAGATAGGAGGGACTAGGAGACAAGGAGGAAATAGGAAGTAGTAAGGAGGAGTCAAGATGGAGAGTCTGGAGAGAGCTGGACGCCAGCCGCCTCCCCGGTAAGAGAAGGCCATGTGAAGATACATAGAAATGGGTTAATAATTAAAGGCAGAGCTAGCTGATAAGTAACAAGTAACCGGGCCAACAGTATTGTATCAAATACAGAGTCTCTGTGTGTTATTTGGGGCTGGTGGCGTGGTAGCAGGACAAGACCGGGCAGCAGGCGGAAAAACCGTACCCCTTACACCTCCCCACTGTGGCTCTGAGAGTGCCTGCCTTGACATGCTATATGGAAGATGCTCATCACACACTACAAGGTGACAGACCACACCGGCTTCACTCAAGTCTTCCTTCAAGTCTTCCCGAGCCCAACCTAGCGTCTTCCCAGTCACCCGAGTCTCCATCCTCCCTCCGTTCCTGGTATAGAACGTGTCTCACAAGCCTGTGTGTTAAAACTCTTAAGTTCAAAGCCTTCTTCCGGAAAATGAAGAGAAGGAAAGAAATTTCACGGCAGAGACTCCACCAGGTACCCTCTCTGTCATCAATGTTTCTTTTCTTTGTCTTTTTTTTTTCCTTTTTCTTTTGAGCAGGGCATCTCTGTGTATCCCTGGCTGTGCTGGCGCTCACTCTGTAGACCAGGCTGGCCTTGAAATCAGAGATCTGTCTGCCTCTCACATACTCTCTTAGGCCATGATTTCATCTGATAATCACAGCAACCCTGCCAGGTAGACATTACTGTTTTATTTTCAGGTAGGAAAATGGAGAGACTCAAGACACTAAGCAATTTGCCTGAAGATACAAATTAACATAGCATGCAGACTAAAACAGGAGTTTCTGGTTTGTGGGTATATTACAGCCCCCTCCCATGCACTATTCTAAAGCTGCCCCTCCTTAATTTCTACCACGACCATCCTGAGCATCATTCCTTCATTAGGATTTAACCTAAGTCACACCCTCACTTCTGACTGGGAGCTTCGCCCTCTGACCAACTCCAAGCTTCCATGCCTGAGGCTCTACGGCTGTCAGATCTTTGCCTGAAATTTGCCCACATCTGTCTGTAGTCCACCTCTGTGTCACATTTTTCTCTTCCCCTAATGATCAGATCCAAAGTGACCCTTCACTTGATGTGAATTTAAGATTCGTTTAACATGTCCATCACATGGTGAGGCCTTGTGAAAAGACTCAGGTCCCACACCTACAGAAATCCCAGTCATAGAAGCTCGCATGCTTACCGATAGTCTGGCATGTTAAAGGCAGAATGGGTAGCTTTACTCAGGACTAACAAAATACAAACAAGAGAGGTACCCAACCAAACTGGGGAGACTAAGGGAGCCCTCCTGGGGGGAGAAAAACAATGTATATATAGTAAATGTCTCCCTAACTCAGTCCACTCAGGAAGTACTTGTCACAATAAAATACAGTACACAATATAAGATGTGGAGAGCAGGAGCTGGGAAGAGAGTGGGCTCAGTGTGTGCAGGAGGCTGCCCTCAAGTGCCTCTGACCTCAGTTTGGTCTCTGGAGCCCACGCGGCAGAAAGAGAAAACTGACTCCTGAAGTTGCCCTGGACCTCCACGCATGTGCCTAACTCCTACACACACACACCCAAATTTAAAAACATTTAATGTGGAAATCACTACATAAAATATAGTGGAAATCACTACATAAAACCTGACCAAATATTTTAGAAAGCTTAAATATCCACCTATTTGAGAAATTCTCATAGAGATCTCTGGTACAGCAACAAAGAGATATTTTTCAACACTAGTTCCTTACTTTTTCTATAAAAATGGAACCTTTGATTTTTTTCACTTGATCCATAGGTGCCTAGAATAAAAAATCCACTTCTTAAGTATAGGTGAAGTCTGGCCAAGCATATATGAGAGTACTGTATGATACCTCACAAAAAATGCCTTTTAAAAAAAGGGCCTTTCCTTGTCCACACAACTCAGATGGTGCTCTATCGTGAAGGAGCATGAGGAGATCCCACTTCTGTGCGGAAGAACCTCCTCGCCTACCTCTGCATTCTAGCAGACAGAAAACAAGCTTTTATCTCGCTTCTTCCTGGAGGCCAAATCCAATGTTGCTTGATACAAAGTAGCAGGAAACAAAAGTACTTTTCTCTCCAAGCTATCAACAGGTTTGTTACTTTTGTAACAATGTTACTTGATACAAAGTAGCAGGAAACAAAAGTACTTTTCTCTCCAAGCTATCAACAGGTTTGTTACTAATTTAGCGTGAGCTCAACAAGACTCTGCTTCTCTCTCTACCCAGTGACCTCAACCAGAGGCTAGCAGGGTATAACCAACCAAGACAATGAGCATTCAAATCCACCCCTATTACCGAGTGGTTACATAGCCCTGGCTGAACCAGGCATTCACAAGCCTCTGCTTCCTGATCTCTAAAGTGGTGAGAGCAGCACCCATTTGAGGGTTGTCATGAGGACAAAAAGAATCAGTACCTGCAAACCACTTAGGACACAGAGGACACCAAATCTTTGCTCAATAAACCAATTGCATCTAGACTTAGCACCCCAAAACAGGAAGCACCCAAAAATCCTCAGAGGTAACCTCAGAGGTGGTAGAAAGCCAATAAGTACTTTTAGAATAAATAAATTCTTCAAAAATAAGAAAGCAATGTACCTGCAAAAACAATTGTAAATAGCCTCCCAGTTTTTTAAGATCTTGTCTCAATTCATCTTCAAGCCTCGCTGAGCTGGTGCCAGGTGGGAAATCACCCAACCAGTGTTTGAACAAAACTACAAGCTGCTCAAAGGCACAAGCAATCTGGACAGAGAATGCCTGTACCGCCCGGTCAGAAGCAAACACTGCGGAAGAAAAAGAAAATTACTGCAAGGAATCGTGTTCAGATAAAAGAACTCACGTATGGGCACCATTAAAGCATCTAAAATTGGTCGAGAGACATCAGCCAGATGCATCAAATACTCATCCCCAAACAAGAGTCAAGGGCAGAGAATCCCCGCCATGGGGGGGTTGGGAGAAGCGGTACAATTACTTACAGTTATTCTGACTGTCTTCGTCTTGTTCTTCATGGGCTTTGGAAATGGCAAACAGCCCATTATAAAGTTTAAGGAGATTATTTATCAGGCTATCTGCTACAGTTTTTTCTTCCTCATAACTCTGTCCAAGAAAGTCTATTGATGAACCAATCAATTCTTTGCAAATTCCAGAAAGAAACGATTCTGATGAATTTGAGTAAACGGTGCTTGGTTTTTCCATTAAACCTACACCAACAGAAAACAGCCAGTGTGAGCCTAGTTTTTAAGAATAAACCTTTCAAACAAATGCATGAATGCAGGTATACTGAAGAATCATTGGTCAGTAGTTCAAGGTAGGCTATTCCTATCTCAATGGGGTCAAAACAGTTTCACGTAGGGACCAATTAACCTCTGACTAGCATGAGCTTGTATTTCTTCACCCTTAACACAAGTAACTGAGAATCAAAATACCCCATGTGCCTACTCACTGAAACCTTTCTTTTTATATTTTTGTGTGTTTGGTGTTTTGCTTGCATGCATATCTGTATACCATGTGCATACCAAGTATTCACAGAAGACAAACGAGCACCAAATCCCCTGGAACTGATTTCCAGACAGTTGTAAGCTGCTATGCAGGTGCTGGAAATTGAACCCTGGTCTTCTGGAAGAGCAGTCAGTGCTCATATCTGACTTAAAAACACTTTTATAAAACACCTGGCTTTTGAAACGGAAAAAAAATAAGTTGTTACTATTTCTCTCCAAGCTAATTTTGAGAAAATAACAAAACCAAACCCTATTTCTTTGAAGATGAGTTATAGTTCCTTTTATTCTTACTCATATTCTATCAGGACCTTTACCAAATAGACTAATACATTAAATAGTAACTTTCAAACTGAAAAAAAAATAGATTATTTATTTTATTATTTTATGAGCATAAGTGTGTGGCCTACATGTGTGTCTGTGTATTGTGTGCAACCTGGAAGACGGCATTAGATCCCTGGGATTGGAGTGTGGCTGTGAGTCACCATGAGGGTGCTGGGAATTGAACCTGAGTTATTTTGTATGAGTAGCAAGTGATCTCAACTGCTGAGCCTGTTCGTCAGTCCCATCACTTGGGACTTCTTATAAGGGCCTACATATAATGAGGTGCTCAGTGCAGCAGTGTTTGTCTAGCATGCTTTTGGCCCTGAGCTCAACCCCAACATTCCCCACATGCAAACCAAAACAAATTCCTCCCTTGTCCAACACACGCACACAGACAAGCAGCACTCTCGAGCTATGGGCAGTTTTTTGGAGGGTCTTACTCAGTGAAGCATCTACATACATGCCTCCTTTCATTTCTCCTTCACACACATCACAGATGCATGCTCTGGTATTTGCTCATAAGGAAATAACAATCTAAACATATTTTCCCATATCTGAATTAGCCATCCCACTAAAAAGCTTTAAAACAAACCAAAGAACAGAAGTTGAGAAACAGACTAGCCATCGAATTCCCATCTGCATTTTATAAGGGAAGCCCGCTGCTAACGGCTGTCACAAGCCCACTCCTCGGGCAGGCTGCGGAGTACAGTACCTGACAAGTGTGAGGAGTGCAGATTCTGGATCGGATGGACCTGTATGTCATGCAAACAACCAGAAACTCGCCCATTCTTCATCAAACTTCTGCTCCTGAACCAAAGGCAACCATAGGATTAGTCGCTATATAGCACAGGAGCATTAAGAATGTGGCCAGCTCTGTGGAAACACATACTCAGAGTGCTCAGAAGGCGGGGACTTTGAGGCCAGTATGGCCTACATGAGACCCTGTCAGGGGGGTTGGGAGTCAGGGAACATTCTACCATAGGCATGTATATGTGTTCTTCCAACAAGGACGGACTCATTTCCACTCCTGAGCAAGCATTTTCCCATGTGCAGGCATTGCCCTAACAGTTCATGAAATGGGGTGTTTCTTATACACCAGTATAGGCTCTGAGCATGGCTATGAAGCCTGGCATCTGGCCTAGTTCAATGAGTGCTACTTCAGCAGGCTGGGCCGTGGAGTTGGCAAGGCGTCTCAGAAGAGTGACCCTGAAGGGTAGCAGGGCTGGTCAAACAGGGGGCAGACTTGGGGAGCAGGGGTAGTGTCTGAGACACAGGCATGGGCGTGGGGAGGCTTGGTGGTGGAACATGCAGAGAACTAAGCACAGCGCTGTCTGTGGTAGAGAGGGGAGAGAGAGAGGGAGGGGGAGGGGGGAGAGAGGGAGGGGTAAGGGGGAGAGACAGAGAGAGGGGGAGAGAGAAGGAGGGGGAGAGAGAGAGAGGGAGAGAATGTGGCTGGGAGATGTGCTAGGACCAGCCTGCCTTATCTCGGGGAGGAAGTTAAAGAAGGAAATGATCTAGGCAGAAGAGCTTCTAAGCAGACTCTGTGAGAGCAGCCCCCCTCAGGAGGGAGTGAGGCCCTCCACAGCACAGGCACATCCCTGCCCTCAGCCTACAAATCACAGGCTCTCCCTTTACCTTGAGAACAAAACTCCCTGAGCAGTGACCTACACCCAAATCCAGGTGACCTTCTGGTGTCTTCCTAATCACACATCTACTACTGTTGACTCACCAGAAGAAAATACTGCTTGTTGAAAAGATTGTTAAATCCAAGTATTCTGTCCACGAAAGTTAAATGTTCCAAATATAACCCTCCTGTGAATTCTTACAACAATAACAAAACCACAGAAATATGACTGGAGACAAAGGGGTGCTATCAATTTCCCAAGTATTTGTTTTTCTAGAGGTTAAAAGAAAAAGTAAGTTAAGCTAGGAAAAGTATTATTCTTGCGACAATGTCACGTTAAACAGTGTTTAAACTACAAAAATGCTTGTCACATTCCTTTCACATAGTTTTTATTCAACCTGATAGAAAAATTTACTTTTAAGTGTCAACCATCTGTGTGATCTGCAGGCGGCCGATCAGGCTGCTTTATTGCAGGGCAGCTGAGTACAGCAGTGCCCACGGAGGCGTCACAGCAATCTGTCAGCGTCCCCATTACCTGCAGGAACTCTCAGGGTTTGGAGTGTGTCATAAACATTCGTACAAGGCTGAAACTTCAAGCACAAGGTCTCAGACTAAGAGCAACTCATTTAAAAAAAAAAAAAATCATCACACCATTAAATTACAGACGTTCCCAAAAGTATTTGCCAAATGAAAACACTTCATTTTTAAATCTTGAAAAATAGGAACAGGAATTTTGGTTTAGGGGGAGTCACACTTTTTTTTTTAAAAACTTGTTTAATTGTTAACCCCAACTTTGACAGTTGTAAGAATCACCAACATTCAGTAGGCTAAATGCTACTGTCCTACAACTAATGACCATATTGTGGTCCACAATGCTCTTTTTCTTACAGTTAAGAAACTAGTAATCTTAAAACCCAAAGGGTCTCATAATAATTCTCTCGTTTGTTGGTACGGTTGAAATTTGGAGGAAGTCGTTATTCCTCTAGGTTGACCTACTTATCTCCAGCCCTCTACACCCATTCCCATCAAGGACCACCCTTAGGGCCCTTTAGTGACGCCACCCAGCAGAATCTTTCACCCTTAGATCAAATCACCTGTAGACATCACTATCTGTTCACCAGTATTGGATCAGAAATTCTATTTCCTCTATGCCAGAAGAGGAAAGGCACCAGACCTCATTACAGATGGTTGTTAGACACCATGAGGGTGCTGGGACTTGAACTCAGGACCTCTGGAAAAGCAGCCAGTGCTCTTAACCTCTGAGCCATCGCTCCAGCCCCAGAAATTCTATCTTCTCTATACTGTAACATTAAGAAAAGTCTTTTCTTAGTGCTCAAGATTGAATCTCAGGATGCTAGACAAGAGCTTTAACCACAGACCTAAGATTTAACTGTATAGATGTGCAACAGTCTAAGCAACCATTACTGAACAGCCCAGTGAGAGGTTTGCACACTTTATCTCCTACCCTCGCTATACTCTGCGGCATCGTTGCCAAGCTGCAATCAGACGGGATTCAAGGCAGCGAGGGTGGCAGGTACTCCTGGAGGAGCCAATGCCTGGAGATGCTGTGTGTGTGTGTGTGTGTGTGTGTGCGCGTGTGTGTGTGTGTGTATGTGTGTGTGTGTGTGAAAGGAGCTCAGGGTCTGTGTGGAGAATCTGTAATGCATATTTCACTCAGGACCATTCTGGTGATGGTTCAACTTCTGCATTTATAAAATGGATGGTCATAACAACACTTTACCTCAGAGGTCTGTGGTGAGTACTGAATGAGGTCATCTCATCAATAATTGATGTTTTCTTTCTTTCTTTCTTTGTTTTGAGACAGTGTTTCTCTGTGTGGCTTTGGAGCCTGTCCTAGAACTCACTCTGTAGATCAGACTGGCCTTGAACTCACAGAGATCCTCCTGCCTCTGTCTCCTGAGTGCTGCCCCCATGGTGAGCTTGTTTGTTTAAGACAGGGTCTTGCTGGGTGGTGGTGCACACCTTTAGTCCCAACAATTGGGAGGCAGAAGCAGGGGAATCTTCTGAGTTTGACACCAGCCTGGTCAACACAGAGAAACCCTGTCTCGATAACCAGCTCCCCTCTCCCCACAAAGAAATATGGGATCTTACTATGTTGCCCAGGTTAGGCATATTCCTCTTGGCTCAATTTTCAACATCCTGAGCCCCCAGGCATGCCCCACATCACCAGGCTGATGAGTATTATTGGTGATGACTGTGCTCTGTGGTTGGGACAATGGTGCTGATGCTCACACCCTGAAAACTCCCTCACCCAACACTCCTGACTAAACATAGACTTCACATCTGGAGGAAACCTCGGTTTTTTTCATCACCTTAACTGCACAATCAGTCACCAAGGCCTATTGACTCTGCATCTCAAATACGTGTGACATCTGCATCTCAAATACGTGTGACATGTGTTCTGTCCAGTTCTCTTCACCTAGTGCCCCTCCTCTCACTGATGCCTGGGTCATGAGGACAGGGAGGTTTTTACTTACCTGGGATTCTTCAGAACATGGTAGCTATCACAGAAATATTTGTTTTTAATAAATAACAACAACAATTAAAGCACTAAATGTTCCTCTCAGGCCAAGGCCTTTCCATACCATTTGCTTCTACACCAAGAGCATCCAAGAGCATCTACCACTATGGATGTCTTTATGTTTTGCTTTGATAGATAACACTTGTCATGTATAGATGTTCTGTATCACACTGATTTACTCTTTTGTGGTGCTCAGACTAACTTGATTGTATTCAAATGTATAACTTACAATAAAACATCAGAGTATGGCAAATTCTTGAGGTGTTAGAAGTAATGCTACTCCTTTTCCTTTTCTAAGTGATTTATTTTTATTTTAGGTGCATTGGTGTTATTCTTGCATATCATGCATGTCAGTGTGAGGATGGTGGATCTTCTGGAGCTGGAGTTACAGACGGTGGTGAGCGGCCATGTGGGTGTGAGGAGTTGAACCTGGGGAACCTGAGGAAGAGCAGCCAGGGCTCTGAACTGCTGAGCCACCTCCAGCGCTTACCGTGCTATGCCTTTCCCAGGTGGGAAATTAGATGTATGCCGTTCTAGGCTGCTCTTAAAACCAGTATGGTAAAATGCTGAGCAGTTTTGCTTATATAGCGAGCTAATCAACAATGCAATGCTGTACGCACTGTAATTTAATCGCTAACATCAATGCCGTTCATATCTGCGGGTCCCCATTACAGACATATCATGGCAGCAGGTCTCTGAAGATCATTCTATATATGCATGCATATGTTAATCTGTAACTTAAATACTTGAACATGTGCATACACAGAAGAAGAAAAGCAACGATAAAACAACTTTACCTCCTTCTAGAAAGGGAAGAAACTGGCGTATTTGTAATGTCGGGTTCCCACTCATCTTCAGGGTCACAAAAGACATCCTCAGCCTGGTTACCACCGTCACTCTAAGAAAAGTAAAGTATAGCCTTTCCATTCATTGTCATGTTTACAATTCAACAAAAAGACTATGTAAATAATTTTAATTTTTAAAACACAAAACTAGCAAATCACTGGTTATCTACTTAGTCTTAAAATACCATATTATGGATCAAACTTAACAACTAATAACAAATTATAATAAAAACATATATGCAGATGCCATTATGAAATCCATTATTTTGTATGTTAACCTAAAAACCATTATTTTGAAAGCTAACCCACCCAAAAAAAAACCTAAATAACAATAAAAACCCTAATCACGTGATGCTGGGAATTAAAGTAAGTCTTATAAAAACAACCAAAATTATTAGATACTTCAAAAACAGTCACCCGGACTGGGGAGATGGCTCAGGCAGCAAATCGTTACCTTGTACGCACAGGACACGAACTTGATTCCTAGAACCCATGTGAAAAGCGCATGGTGTGAGGGCACTCATTAGTCCCAGTGCTGGGGCCTAGACTGCTGGATCTCTAGGGTCCACTGTTGGTGAGCCCAGCCCAGCCCAGCCCAGCCCACACGGAGAGATCTAGGGCCAGAGATCACATCTAAAATGGGAAAGTGGATGGTGCCTGAGGCTGTCCTCAGGCTTGCTCGCTCACACACACACAGACATGCACACAGACACACGCACGCATGCATGCACACGCGCACGCACACAGACTCTCTCTCTCTGACATGAGTGTACACACACACAGACACACACACACAGACTCTCTCTGACATGAGTGTACACACACACACAGACACACACACACGCACACACACAGACTCTCTCTCTGACATGAGTGCACACACACACACACACACTCTCTCTCACATGAGTGCACACACACACAGACTCTCTCTCTGACATGAGTGCACACACACACACACACACACAGACTCTCTCTCTCACATGAGTGCACACACGCACACACACACTCTCTCTCTCTCTGACATGAGCGCACACACACACACACATACACTCTCTCTCACATGAGTGCACACACACACACACTCTCTCTCACATGAGTGCACACACACACACAGACACACACACACACACACACTCTCTCTCACATGAGGGGCTTCGAGGGCCCCTGCTCTTTCAGAAGCCCTGGGTTCGATTCCCAGCACCCAGAATGGTGCTGTTAATCCCAGCTCCAGGCCACAGATGTGCACATTTAACATAAAGGTGCATAGACATATAAGCAAAAATAAATCAAACAACAATTGTTTAAAAAGCACTTGCACTTAGAAGAGACGATTAACAGTAAAAACCGAGGGAGGGACAGAATAGTCTGGCAGGGTTAAGGTACAGTCCTGGACTAGAGAAATGTCTCAGTGATAGATAATCACTTGCTTAATTCATGTGAAGTCTTGTTTCTCATCCCCTAAATACACAGACATGCTCTTACAGCACACATCACTTCCTGGTTGAATGTACTAATAATAATCTATATATTAGATATTTAAGCAATCTCAATTAAAATTGTACCTACATACATACTATAGCGCTTCTTTCAAAGAGTGCAGTATGTGTAAAAACTAAGTAAAGAATTTGGAGATAGGATGAAGGGATGGCTCAGAGGTTAAAAGCACTGACTGCTCTTCCACAGGACCTGAGTTCAATTTCCCATGAGGCTCACAACCATCTATAATGAGACCTGGTGCCCTCTTCTGGCCTGCCAGCAAACATGCAGGCAGAATATATATATATATATTAGACAAAAAAATTAAAAAAGAAAGACTCAAATTTAATATATAGGAAGGGCTTTAAGGCAGCATACCATACAGATACTTCAATATCCATGCACATGGCTAGGATATTTACAATACTACAACAACTAGAAAATGGAAACCAGCCTAGATGTCCATGAAAAAAATGAGTGTATACAGAAAATGTAGTACATATACACAATGGACTTTTTATACAATTGCCAAGAGCCCTGAAATCATAACATCTGCAGAGGAATGAATGGAACTGGAAATCATTATGTTAAGCAGAGTAAACTAGATTCAGAAACACAAGGGTATTTAGTTGTTTTCTCTTAGATTTAAAATTATGTAAGTGTGTGTGCACATATGTGTAACAGGAGATCATGAGAAGGGAGGAGGAAGAGGTCTAGCCAAGGGGAGAAAGAGAGGGGGACACAAAGAAAAAGAGATTTAGAGGGAAGGGGGCCAACGCCAGGGAGCCCTGCCAGACAGCAAGGCAGGGCAGAGACAAATGATGACAAAGCATGTGTGTGCGTGTGTGCGTGTGTGTGCATCTGTGCATGCGCGTGTGTCTGTGTGCGTGTGTGAGTGCACGCGTGTGTGTGCGTGTGTGTGCGTGTGTGTGTGTGCGTGTGTGAGTGCACGTGTGTCTCTGTGTGTCTGTGTGCATGTGCGTGCGTGTGCGTGCGTGTGTGCGAGTGTGTGAGTGCGCGTGTGTGCGTGTGTGTATGAGTGTGTCTGTGTGTACGTGTGTGTGTACGTGTGTGTGTGTGTCTGCGCCTTTATATGGTATTGTTTGAGTGATTCGCAGTTGGGCAAGCAAAAGGGACTGTGCTATTAACAACACTGAATTTATTGTCATTAAGAGCTTAGTATTTTCTTTAAAGTTAAGCATCTGGTGAAGGTGAGAGCTGGTGGCTATTTACACTGCCCAAGGATGAGCAGGCTTACTGCACTGCCCAGGGATGAGCAGGCTCACCGCACTGAAATCCTGTAAGGGGAAGATCCCCAGAAACAGTTTCTAAAGGTACTCAGAAAACAGTTCCCAACAGGACCCACAAATTACGAAAATATTTTAAAAACTGTTAAGAAGTGCATTTGTTACAAAAAAAAAAAAAAAAAGCACCCTGGCTCTTCCAGGCCTCACATGGTAGCTCACCACCCTTTTTAACTCCCATCCCGGGGGTCCAGCACCCTCTTCTGGCCTCTGAGAGTACTAGGCACACACACGTTATGCACACAGACATTCATGCAGGCAACACACACACACACACATGCACTCACACACGCACGCACGCACGCACTCACACAGAGAGTTTAATGTCACAAACCTCATAAAGCTCTTTCATTGCTGCAAGTTTAGATTCAAACTTTTCCAGACTCCAGAAAGTCGAGATCCCAAGCTGCAGGTTACGAACTCGAACAGAAGTACCAGAATGACCTCCGTCTGATGTATCGTGTCTGGAAAAAAAAGCCAAAGGGAAATCTTAACCTAAAACATATAGACATGCATGGGGGCAGAGACACGGCTTAACGGCAAAGAATACACACTGCTCTTCCGAAGGGCTTGTGATGGGGCTCAAGCATCCACACTCACTGCTTCACAAGCACCTGTAACACCAGCTCCAAGGGCCCCGACACCCTCTCCTGGTCTCCAATAGCTGCTGTGTGTACATGGTACACACACACAAACATACATATAAATAAATCAATCTTTTAAAAAACTGGAATGCAAGACTGGGTGGGGTGGCTTAGTGATACAGGAGGCCACGGATTCGAGCTCTAGTACAACAGAAATAAAATAAAATGGTAAGCAGATAAAAAAATTTCAACCTAAAAGAAAAACAAGTAAACTCTTTAAAAGCCTCTGGGTCAGGGGTTATGATATCTGGTCTTTCCTGGAAAGACTACTATGTAGACTTCAGAGAAACTTAAATGAAAAATATAAAGTACAAACAGGTTAATGAGTGTAAAAACTACTCACCTGCCAAAAACATAGTATTTTTTGAATTTGTCACTGATGGCATTAGCTTCCTGGATCATCATGGAGAGTTTCATGGAGTTCCAATTTGGCTGAACTATGAAAAAGTATACAAATTAGAACCAAAATGTTTGTCTGATCATTAGCATATGTCACTAGTTAAAATAATCTCATAAAAATACTGACATTAGGGGCTGGCGGGATGGCTCCGTGGTTAAGACCACTGGCTGCTCTTCCAGAGGACCTGGTTCAGTTCCCACATGGCAGCTCACAGATATGCATGTAAGCACAATACCCACATATATAAAGGGTAAAATAATATTTGAAATGACATTAAATGAATGGTTTTAACTCTCTATCACAAGGGTTTTGTTTGGTTGGTTTTTGGAGACAGGGTTCTCTGTATTCACCATGGGGGTCCTGGGACCCTGAGCCCTCAGGTCATCAAACTCTCGCATGCCCAATGAGCTCACCAGCCCAAAAGTCGTTTTTCTAATGTTCCTCCTTTCTTTACTATCTCATTTTTCTAAGTCATCAAGTGAGGTCTACCATGGGCTCCTTTGTAAAGAACGACACCCCTTTAAAAATTTCTAGGCAAATACGAAATTAAAAAGGTTATCTGGAGGTACGGCACCACAAGAGAAATACCTGTTTATCCTGGGGCTTTGCTTTAATCACACACACACACACACACACACACACACACACGCATGCAGACACATACACACACTCGCACACACACATGCGCGCGCGCACACACACGCACAATAAGTAATAAGAGTTAAGAATAGCAATTTAGCTTGCTGCCTCATTTTCATACAGCAAAGTTGAGATTTCTCCCTGAAGGGCTGGGGGTTTAACTCACAGCTTCTCCCATGCTGAGCACATTCCTAGCACCGACTTCCAACCCTTGCCCCTAAGTCTGCGGTGTTAATTTTCTCTACATTATGTCCCGCATAAAGCCATGTTTTATCCCACAGGTGACCTTCACCATCGGTCTTCAGTGTCCCCACTGAAAGCTTTTGCTGGAAGAGGCCCACTCTCTTCACTTCTGTTCAACCAAGTATTGTGAGGCCTAAGTGGAGAAACTGACAAGGAAGAGGAGGAAGAAAACTGCCCTGTAGAGATGAGGGGGCCACCGAAGACTGTTCCTGCACTCTGCGATGACACTATGAAGAAGCCCAGGCTCGACTGCACCACAGCCGGGCTGTAGCTCAGGACTGAAGGGCTTGCCTAGAACACACAGCCCTCAGTTCCGTGACCAGCGCTCACACACTGCACCAAAAGCAACATGATACTCAAGAATACATTTCACCAAAGAAATCAAAGATCCGTACACTGAAAACTATGCAACTTTGATGAGAGAAACTGCACATAAATAGATAGGAGGACAGTGTGCATACATTAGAAGAAAAAAACACTGTTAAAAGAGCTGCACCGCCTAAAGCAGTGATTCAGTGAGCGCCTTCTCAAAATTCCAATGGCTTCTTTCACAGAAACAGAGAAACACTTCATCTGGGGCTACAATTTCACTAAATTAATTTCGGGGCGGGAAGACAAAAACGTTCGGTCTATGGGGCCGATACAACAATTCTAAAAACAGTATTTTAAAACCATGCATACAAATATATTTACATTAAAAAAAAAAAACTAGCATCTAGAACAAGCTTCATCTATCTACCTATTTTTCTACCTATCTCTCTCTATCTATCTACCCACCTCTCTATCTTTATCTACCTCTCTCTTTCTCTATCTCTCTCTTTATATCTCTATCTCTCTTTATCTATCTGTCTGTCTGTCTATCTGGTACTAGAGATTAAGCCCAGGGCTTTCTGCATACTGGAAAAACACTGTCCTATGAAATTCCCCCTCAGCCAACCATTTTACATATGTAAAGGTAACTAACATTTTAGTAACTATATTATAAGAAGACACAGAACTTTAGAAAAGTATATGTTAACATCAGTACATACTCACTTGTGAAAGTTTTATCCCTATTTCCCCGATTCTCCTGAAGAATTTGTACTTCTCTGGCAATTTTTTGCTTTTCATTTTCTAAAGCTTCTAGGATTCTTGCATGGCGGATGCTATGGTCCTCCAAAGCCTAATTGATATTCATTCATATAGACCAGCAGATGAGGATATGCAAAGAGAGAATTTATAAAATCAGAAGTTGGATATGTTCATTTGTTTCACTATACTAGCCATTTTCCTGTTTATATGTACCTTATAACAACATGTTATTTATCTTACACATACGCAAGAAAATAATTCAAAAAGCAGTTAATCAGGCCAGCAAAATGATACTTGCTGCTCTGAGTTCCATCTGTGGGACTCGCGTAGTGGAAAGAGAGAATCAATCCCAAAAGTTGTCCTCTGACCGCCCACATGGGCACCATGACATGTACATGAGAAAAGGAAGTGCTTGACAAAACAGACCAGCGGCCGGGGAGGCGGCTCAGCGGGCCGGGGAGGAGTATGTTTGAGTCCTGCCACTGCACTGTGGGAGAGACAGCTGCCCGCTGGAGCTCCCTGGCTAGCCAGTGCTGCCAAAAACAGCAGGTAGATGGGAGGACCTCTGATGGGAGGACCTCTGATGTCAACCACGTCAACCTCTGGCCTCTGCGCGTGCCCACCTGGGCAGGCACACCCTGAGCGCACAGGAGCCCATGCACAAGAACACCACCCCCAAAGAGAATGATCACTCCAACACTGTATTGGAATTCCACCTCACTCATTTAATTACGAATGCATGCTTAACATATTTTACTAAACACAAGAGCTTTGTAAACACCGATTTATAAGCTTTCCTAATGATTCTCATAAAATCATTAAGATTCTAAGGTTTTATTTATTACTATCATGTTTGCATGACTGTGGGGGGGGGCGCACACGCCGAGGCAGAGGTCACCTGCTTTGTAGCCAAAGTCTCCATCTCCAGCCGTCTTCTGTTCACATACACTTCCTGTTCAAGATGCTGCTTCGCCTTTTCCAGCTCCTCAATTTTGTCATTAGCTTTTCGGTTATTGATTTCCTCCATTTTCTTCCTTTTCGACTCTTCTCTCTTTAAACAACATTAATAACAATTAACTTTGGCAAAAACGCAAACCAATTTTTCCAAAACAGTGGTCCTAGGGTATAGAAGTTCCCCTTGTAATCAACGGACAAGCATTCGCCTGAGGCAAAGCTGTCCTGGAGCATTCTACTGCACTCGGGTTAAGTAATCTCACCAAGCATGAATGTCACTAGTCCAACTGTCAGGGTGTGTCCTCTAAAATGGGTCCCTGGGGCTGAAAGGTTGCCCCTAAATCGGCATGAGGAGCCACGCCCTGTGTTGCGGGGCAGGGGTCTATTTTCCTCTCCCAGCAGCCGTGATCTGCCTTGTTGCTAGGAAATGTGTAGCTCTAACTTGTTACTTGGAACACGTAACTCTAACCCCAGCATCAGACACCTCTCCAGCTACATGTTAAGAACTTTTTCCTTCATTTCACGTATCCCTGACTAGTCAGCCGTGCACCTGCTGTGTAACCGAAGACGCCCTTGAACCTCTGACCCTCCTGCCACCGCTCACGTGCTGGCATGTGCAGCACCAGCCGCAGTTAAGGGTCAAACTCGGGGATGCAAGCATGCAGGACAAGTCCTATACCGCTCAGCTTCACCCGGGGCAATCAGGGTTGTCCCACACCAGTCTAGGACACCAACAGAGAAGGGGAAGGCCCTGCGTGTTACCAGCTCTGCTTGAAGGGCCTGGATTCTGCTTTCGTACGCAGCTTTTTGGGAGGAGAGTTCTCGCTGAGCCATTTCTTCTGCGATTTGAATCCCCTGCATCATTTCCTCCTTTACCTTCAACCGGGCATCTTTAATCTCTGCTTCAAGCCTACAACGTGGCAAGACAGTTTTAGGACAGTGAATATTTTATACACCTAAGCAGTCTTCAGTTTTATTAAAGTAACATTTAAATCTGAAATTTTAATTTTTGGCATTCTATCTACAGTGTTTTCTGACTTTTCACTGGTTCTGAATGGTATCCATACCAAAAGAAAAAAATAGAACAGGATGAAAATAGGGTTATTCCCAGCTTAGTTGTTATTGCAGATGCCTGATATTTAAATTAATATATTTTCTAGTGAGTAAAGAAAATATATCAAAAAAATGTTACAGTAAACGTTTTAGTAAATATTATAGCTAACACAGTGAACCAAAATAAGGTATTTTAGGTTAAGCTAAGAATGCTCCGATTCCATGTTAAGACACTTGGAGGCCGCATCCTAGGCGGTCCTTCACCGCGCTCTGTGTCTGAAGATCCACTGACTTACGAGGAGACCCTTCTCCTTCTCCTTCAGCCAGCCTACGCAGTATTTCAGGGTCTCTGAGCTCAGCCGCAGCCTGGTGAGCATTTAACTGATGCATGCCTCCCCTGCACACAAACACCCACGCCAGCCACGCACTTACTGTGACCTCTGTGCCCGAAGTAACTCGTTTTTGGCAAACTCAAAGTCTTTTGGACCTTCGATTGTGAGATTATGTCTACTCGACGGTCTCATCCCTTTCTGGACTTCGACAGGATGATTAAATCGAAAATAATGATCACCACCAAGAATCACCCGATCACCCTGAAACACAGAAAAACAATGAAAAAAATTACAAACTTTTCCTAAAAAAGAAAAAAAAATTAAAAATTGGAGGAGAAAATAATAAAATATTGACAGTGGTTTCCTATGTGAGATACAGTTTTAGTGTTTTATTTTTCCCATTATTCCTTTAACACCACAATTCAAGATGACACAGTAACATTGATGATAGACATTAAAATTATAGCAACGGTCACATCTAAGTATTTTCCACATGCCAAATACTGTTGAGGAATTTACATTCGCATGTATGCTTGTGTATCTCTAAAAAACATCTCACGAGCCACATACTGACCAGTGTTGGGAAAGAGGGGACGAGACACACGGAATTTTTGCCTAACAGCTGACACCACCGAGCGCCTACCCTTCCCGAGCAATGGTGTGAGACTATACAGGAATTACTGCTAGTTTAATTCTCCACTGCCCCGGAAAAGCAGACGTTATTCTGGGCTTGACTGCAGCAGCTCGAACCGGTTCTCCTGAGACAGCGGTTAACAGCACCCTAAAAGTGTCCTTACTAGGCGGTGTTGGCCACCACGGAACACACAATGATGCTGTCAGTGGTAACATGACTGGTTCACGACACGGTGACTTCTCTTTGCACAAAGGAAGGCTACTAATGAATTAACCAACAGAACTTCTGAAATGGAAATGTTCTCAAGTCAGATTAGTGACTCGGGAGAAAACATGAGCACCATCGGTTGGCAGTTTCTTCCACTGTTCACTCACATGATGTAAAACTGTGGGCTTCACGATATGCATCCCATTTACGTATGTCTTCGCTTCTCCAGCCGGGACAATACTCACTGTTCCTCCAAAATTTCTGATAGTGCTGTTAAAATAAAAACTGCACTGTTATGATATGATTATAGGAAATTTTTAAAAAGAAAGGATAGGAGGGAATAAATCTTAATTTTAAGTTATTTTTATATTATTTTTTTATTTCCTCCAGATACACTTTAAAGTCTGGTGAAAACAAAAACCAAACAGCAGCATCCCTGCCTGCCAGTGGAGGGGAGCTTCACCATATTTTGATTGCCTTCTGGTCCCTGCAAGTAGAGGGAGCCCACAGGACAAAGTCCAGGGAAAGCCAATCGTATTGGTAATGGGTTACTTGGGTTCTACGTGCTCTTACTATCCTATGCTTCTGGCTTTGTAACTGATTGCATCACTTGTCCTATAGGCCCTGAGATTTGAAATTAGAGAATCATAGTTGCATTAAAACACCTCCCCCGCCCCAAAAGAATCTGAGCAAAACAATTCACTGCTAGGCCACATGCCTCCCGTCAGGAGCCCGTTTTCGGCAGGCAGACTTAGCAACCTCTTACCCTCTCTTCCCTCTCCTACTTCCAACTACTCTGTCGTCACAGCTCCAGGGCAGACAAGCCAGTTCCAACCACCAACCTCTTTCATAAGCCACTATTCTCCACGCGAGCCCATTTCAAGTCCATTTCACTGAGTCCTTCCTCAGGGAGGGGCCTCCTCTTCTTACCAACACCATCCTGGAACCTCACCCTGCATGCCAGGCCTCTGGGAGGCTTGTCTCTGAGAGGTCTCCAGGGGATCCCTCCCACCAAGCACGCAGGGCTTGTCTGGCACTTGACATAGGGACTGGCGGGCACTGAAGTCTTCACTCACTGCACCCCATGAGCCAGAGGAGCGCCAGCGGTGAGGACAGACGCGCAGGCAGCCCTCACGCGCATCGTGTCTAGGGAGGAAGACAAACGCTGGCGAGTCTACTGAGGGCTCAAGACAAGCAACGGACTTCCTGCTAAGTACCCCACGGGCTCTTCATTCTTGTTTAGTTCAGTGTCTGTGCCACGGATGTAACTGACGCAGCACTTATGTTATATAAAATAATAATCAGAGCCGTGCAGGGTTAGACCAGAGTCCCATCTTGCTTATAAACAGCCACAAGAGAAAGAAAGAAACACTTAGTGTAAGGTCCAAGGAGAGCTGGTCACTCGGGCTGGCTCACACTCATAGGCCTTTTGCTTAAGGCAGCCAGGGCAGCCAACAAGAGTCTAGCAGCTGCTAATTAAAGTCAAACGGCCCTGTCCCGTGGCTCTTGGCTCACTAGAGGAAGATGAACACCAGGAACGCTAGGATGAGGAGTTAAAGAACTCGTCATTCACTCCGATAGTGACACATTCATGAAGCTTTCCTCTCTTGAAAAGGGGGTTGAGCTGAGTGTGGAGGCGCATGCCTTTAATCCCAGCACTCAGAAGGCAGATAGATCTGAGGCAATCTCTGAGCTCAAGGCCAGCCTGGTCTGTGAAGAGAGTTCCATGACAGCCAGACCAAATGGAGAAGCCCTGCCTCAAAAATCCAAAACCAAACCAAACAAGAGGAGGGCGGGGAGGGGGTGGTTGGAGGAGCAACGACTGCCTCCCATACACAAACGCCCCATTAACAAGGCCTAGCAGGCTGCTGACCACAGACAAGCGGTGCTTGCAGGAGGCTGACTTACCAGTGGTCATCTGCAATCAGCACTCCCGATAACTGGATGTCGTGGCTTGAGTCTGCCTTATACTTCCCGACTGTAGTTATTCCTTCCTTTACCATGTATAGTAGCATCTCTGACAGCTGGGGGTCTTCATTGAGATTAACAAGGTTTGGCAAATGGTTGTCCATTTGAAAAGTAACTCCAGATTTCTGGTGGGAGGGAAAAGAAAATCTTACCTATAGCAAGAGATTATTAAACTCACCTAAAAAAAAGGAACCTATGTTGAACATAGGGTTACGTTATACAGGGTTTCCTGACTAACAGGGCCTATGTTGAACATTAGGGTTACTGTATATAGGGTTTCAGTGACTAACAGGGCCTATGTTGAACGTTAGCGTTACATTATATAGGGTTTAGTGACTAACAGGTTCACTGAGGTTAAAGTTCAGTGTAGATCTCAGGCCTGTGAAGTGCCCTGGTTTTCATCCCAAGTGCGCACACACCCGCTCACACTCACACGCACACTCTCACACGCTCTAACCCAGCTCACTGTTGGGAACCCTCCTTTGTGGTTTCTCTATGTACTCCTAACTCAAGAGCTCTGCAGCTCTTTCATGCCTCTCCACTCTCAGGCAGGGTCGCATCTACCCGTCACCCGCTTTAGAGTAATCACATCTGCCCATCCCATCAGCTCCGCCTTGAAGGGACACAGCAGAATCCCCGCAGTAGCCTCTGGAGCACCCTGGCAGCCATGCTTTGCTGCACATTCCATCCACACCTGGTAGCTCCTCACCACCTGTCAAACGCCCCTAAGAGCTTTCAACTTCCTAAAGAGCAAGGGCTGAAATCGCTCAGCCTGGAAATCAAAACTATCTTCCTTCCTATTCACTCAGCCTCGCCTACCATGGCCCCTGCGCTCACATGTCCCCTTCTACAACGCCTCGTTCTCACCCAACAAATCTCACCCAACCCCAAATCTCGCCTCTCCTCTTGTTTTGTTTCTTCTTGTGCAATCCAGGCTGGCCTGTAACTATGTACTCCAAGCTCGTTTCGAACTCAGGATCCTCCTGCCTAGCCTCAAAGTGCTGGAATTAGAGGCATGGTCCACCACACCTGGCAAATCCTAACTCTTCTGTTAGGATGTCCTGGCCATTCCCAAAGAACTTTTCCTCCCCTCTCTGAATGTGAGTGTGTGTGTGTGAACGTGTGTGTGAGCTCATGTGTGTGTGTGTGAGATCGTGTGTGTGAGATCATGTGTGTGTGAGTGTATGTGTGAGGGTGTGTGTGAGTGTGTAAGATCATGTATGTATATGTGTGAGTGTGTGTGTGAGATCATGTGTGTGTGTGAGCTCATGTGTGTGTGTGAGTGTATGTGTGAGGGTGTGTGAGTGTGTAAGATCATGTATGTATATGTGTGAGTGTGTGTGTGAGATCATGTGTGTGTGAGATCGTGTGTGAGTGTGTGTATGTGTGTGTGAGGGTGTGTGTGAGTGTGTAAGATCATGTATGTATATGTGTGTGAGATCGTGTGTGTGTATGTGTGTGTATGTGTGTGTGTGAGTGTGTGTATGTGTGTATGAGATCATGTGTGTGTGTGAGTGTGTAAGATCATGTATGTATATGTGTGAGTGTGTGTGTGTATGTGTGTGTGAGATCGTGTGTGTGTGAGTGTGTGTATGTGTGTGTGTGAGTGTGTGTATGTGTGTGTGAGATCATGTGTGTGTGAGTGTGTGTATGTGTGTGTGCATAGGAGTCCACATTGGCTGTCTTTCTCATTCACTCTCCACCTTATTTTTTGAGACAAATTCAGTGACCTGGGCAATTCTCATTTTCAGAGTGCTGTGTGCGGCTCTATTCATTCTTACTGTCCACTCAACTGTCCTCTCCCCCCCCCACACACACTTCAGGACCTTATGAGTTTACAAGGCCACACCCACATTGCTAAATGTGGGACTCACTGCTGACTTCCGCTTTCAATACTACCAAACCAGTTACCCAGGGCTGGGGACACAGCGCACGGTAAAGGTGCTGCTGCACAAACTTGAGCGCCACGCAAAGGTGGGAGGGAGGGAGAATCAGCTGCACAGAACTGCCCTCTGCCCTCCAAATGAGTGTTAGGCAAGTGTGCCCTATGACATATACATATACATGCACACACATTTAAAACGCATATACACCATAATTAAAAATTGAAAATAATAAAGACGTTGTCCCTTTTCCCACACTTCTGCTCCTGAACTCACCTCCTCCACTATCATCAGCGCCCTCGCTCCAAGCTCTAAGCTCTCCCTCACTCATGCCTTAACCACACCAGCAGCTCCTAAATGCCTCTCCTTCCAACACCGGCCTTTGCTTCTTCTAATCCACCTCCCCCGTTGTTACTAGAAGAACCCACGGAAGGAGCGTTTAACTGGGTGTAGTGGCACAGGGTTACAATCCCTGCACTTGGAGGTGCTAGGCAATCCCAACCTAGACCCAACCCCACCCCACCCCCCCACCCCACCCCCACCCCACCCCCCTGCATCCTGATTCTTCTGCTCTGGGTAGTAAAGCTCAGCACACACCAGCAGGGGCAGCTGGTGATCCCAGGCAGCCTCCATGGTGGAGAGGATAAGGAAGGCAACCATCAAAGAGAAGAGCCCCGTGCCTCAGACAGGGCAATCCCAGAGTGGAACAGGAGAGCTCCTGCCAGAGGGACTGGCTCCTGATACAGCCAGTAATCAAGCTGCCAAACAGAACTCCAACGCCAGGCCCTGAACCAGCCACACCAACTGTGGAGGCCCCAGCACCTACGAACTTGGCCGCCTGGTCATCGTCCCGGGAGCCAGCACTGATCTGGCCACCTGGACAGGGGAACCTCTGCTCAGGTGGGGCAGACACAGGCCCGACTCCCGGAACAGGAGGAGATCAGAACCGGAGAAACCAACAGGGCCTTTGTGGTCGGCACCTTCCAGCTTTAGCCCCTGGTCTCTACCAACTCTTTAGGTTAATCACCTCTATGTATTTCTCTGTACAGAGTCATTGTATAATAAAGATGAAAAATGAAACTTAAAATTAGTTTAGGAAATTGAAATGATACCTGTAACTCCTTTGTCTCTTGAAGTTTTCTCTTTTCAGCTTGTTCAAACTTTTCTTTCCATACCCTTTCCAAAAAGAAAAAGAAAAATTGAAGTTGAAACATCAATTTATGCAAGACCGAAATCAAGAGGCCATCTGTGAAGTCTGCGGATTACTACCATTTAAAACAGGACAACTGGACGGGTGGTGGAGGCGCACGCCTTTAATCCCAGCACTCAGGAGCCAGAGGCAGGCAGATCTCTGTGAGTTTGGGGCCAGCTTGGTCTGCAGAGCAAGTTCTAGGACAATTAGGGCTAAATAGAGAGTTCTAAGACAGCTAGGACTATTCAATGAAGCCCTGTCTTAGAAAAAGAGGACAGTTAGTGGAAAGCAAGCTGCTCTCTTCTGAAGGCGTGAGAAAGATTCCGTGCGCACGTCCCTCCCAGTCTGGTCTGCAGCAGTAGAGCCCCTGCCGGTGGCCCTGCCGGTGGCCCTGGGGACACTCACCTTTGCATTTCTACCATGTCTCTCTCCTGCTGATGCAGCCTCATCCGTAAGGATGTTATCTCTTGTCGATAGACTCTATACCGTTCAGGGTCAACATTCCGGTTGTTTCTCTGAGCAGCTTTTAACTTTTCAATTTCTGCTTTCAATTCTAAAGATGTATAAAAGACGTGACAAATGGCTGAATCTGGAAAAAGGTGTTTCCACTTGCTGCTTCCGTCCACTCACGCTCTTTTGTAACCGTTCCCCGATTTCCTTCTCGCTACTTCCTCTCTTTTTCACTGAATACCCAGCTTCCTCCACCACTGTCAGGGTCATAACTAGGGTGTACTCGCAACAGGCATGGAAAAAATAGTTGTCAACAAATCTAAGGAGATGGCTCATTTGGTAAGATGCGTGTGGTACATTCTTGAGAATGGGATTAGCACCCATATAAATGCTGGGTGGGTGAGGCAGCCTGTCTGTAATCCCACGACTTGCCAGGCAGAGACAGGGAGCTCCCAAAGCAAGCTGGCTGGACAGCAATCTAGGGAGACTCCCAACTTTAGCCTGGGGCTTCCACAGCATAGCGTACAAACACACACGCATCTACACGCAAACGCATGGACAGTGTGCACAAGCATACACTCGCAAACACGAACAGCGGTGTTTGAGACAGTACCCACCTCTAATTAGCTTTGCATTCATATCTTCATTGACTCTGGCGACATTGACTATCAGACGGGCTTGGGTGGCGTACCTAAGCGTGCTTAGGGTTTCCTCTATGTTGCTGGCTGCAGGGCTCACAGTAGCAATCATTGCTGTCTTTGAATTTCCACCCAGGCTTTCTTTCAATAGCCTTTAGGAAGAAGAAGGGAAAACACTCACGATTACCCTTTTCTTCTACAACCACCTAGTAGCACTAACCGTCTAGAAAACCCAAACCAATGACTAACAGCACGAGACACAATACTGGCTCTCCACTCACACCATTAAAGCCACTTACATCTCATAAAGACGTCGTTTTCTCTTACATTTTCTTTTCATTTCTTTCTTTTTTCAACTATTTATTTATTTATTTGGAGACAGGGTCTCACTATGCAGCCTTGGCTGGCCTGAAACTTACTATGTGGACCAGGCTGGCCTCGAACTCACAGAGATCTGCCTGCCTCTGCCTCCCGAGTGCTGGGATTAAAGGCATGCACCACCACTGTGCATGGCTCACACTCCTGGCTTATTTTTTTTTATAGTGCTTTATAAAGTAATAAACTGTTTATAGGCTTTTAAACATGATTAAACGTGAAATATTTAGTAAGATGTTTTCCCTTTCGGCTGTCAGCTTCTACAGCAAGGAGACTATGTCTTGATCATCTTGGTGCTCCAAGCACTAGCATAACCTGCAGGAGTGAGTTCCCAATGCATGCTGAAAATGATGAACTAACACATAAACATGCAGTATTGCACTGTGTGCAATATAGAATAAAAGACTCGAATATATCTTTATTAACACAGAATGAATTTCACTATTCCTAGCTTTTCAAGTCTTTAAAAAAATGATACTTTCCCTTTTAAGTTTCAAAATAAAAACAACATTATAACTAAGCAATTAAAATTTGGGCATGGTATGAGCCACTCGGAAGGCTAATGCAGAAGGATTGCAATGGGTTCAAGGCCACCCTGGGCTACACAGTATATTCTAGAACAAAGTTAGAGCCTGTCTAATAAAAATAAAACCTAAACTAAACAAACAACAACACACCAATTATAAGGGTACACTACTGTTGTAGGTGTGGCTCTTGCCCAATTGTATACCAACACTCCTTCGCTTGAGTTAAGGTTACACAACAATAAATCCATTAGTAAACTGAAAATACCATGTATTTAACAAAGCAAGTGGAAAACTTGTATAATAAAACATTAAGGCAGTAAAGAAATACATCGAAGAAGATGGAAAGCTCTCTGATGTACATGGATTGGAAGGATTAATATTGTGAAGATGTCCATTCTGCCAAGAACAAGCTATTGGGTCAACGCAATCCCCACAAAAATTCCAACACACTTCACAGAAATTAAGAAAAAGCAATCTACTACTTCATATGGAAACACACACACACAAATTCAAAAACAGTAAAAGCCCCAAACAACAACAACAACAAAACAAAACAAAACAGAATAGCCTCAACAATCCTGAATCGTTAAAAGAATTTCTGGAGGTGTCACCTTCCCAGATTTCAAGTTGTAGTATAAAGAGAGCAATAATGATAAAAAGACATGGTATTACCATAAAAATAAACAAGTTCATCAACAAAGTAGAACTAAAGTTACATACATCTGCAGACACCTGATTTTTATCAAAGAATACAATATTCACACTGGAGAAATCCTCAACCAATGATGCTGCTCAAATGGATAGGTCTGTATGGAGAAGAATGCATATAGATCCATATTTATCACCTTGCACAAAACTCAACGTCAATACAAAATCAGATACCCTGAATCAAGTGACAGAAGGTAAAGTGGGGAGTGGGGAGTGGGCTCAAACCCATGGGCACAGGCATTAACAACATCGGGTACAAACGGGACTCACAAAGGCAAGAAACTTCTGCACCGCAGAGACCACTCATTCAGACAAAGTGACAGCCTACAGAACGGGGAAGATTTTTACCAACTACACACCCGGAAGAGGGCTAACATTCAAAATATATAAAGAATTCAAAGGCCAACATCAAGAAAACAAATAACCTGATTTAAAAACGGGGTACAAAACCAAGCAGAACCTCAAAAGAAGAAATACGTAAAGGAATGCTCCACACCCTTAGCCATCAGGGTCAATAAAACAAATGCAAGCACACAGTGTCAATGGTGCAGGGCAAGGGGAACTCAATCTGCTGCTGGTGGAGCGCAGGCCTGTACAGTCACTGTGGAAATCAGAGTGGTGGCTCATCACGATGCTGGAGCAGATCTACCTCAGGGTCTTGGACACATGCCCAAAGGACGCTTCAGCACACCACAGAGATGCTCGCTCACCCATGTACACTGCCGCTCTCCTCTTAATAGGCAGGAACCGGAAACAGCTAGATGTACATCAAGAGGTGAATGGTGTGTTTACACAATGGAATTCTACTCAGCTGGTGAGGAAATGAAATTAAGGAGTACGCACGCAAATGGACGGAGCTAGAGGAAGTCATCCTGAGTAAGGTGACCTTGTATGTAAGACCTCTGCATGCATACTGCAACATGGACACGCAGGATAATGTCAAAAGAGAAAAAGGAATCCCCCCAAAGCAAGGAGTCATTTCTCCTGAATACTTTCCATTTCCCACACCATCATAAAGTAGGTAAATTTCAAGGAAAACCATTATAAGCTGCAGGATATCTACCTATATTAGCATTTATTAGAAGTTGAACATTAAATGATGCATCAGAAGTAAAGTGTATAAAAACACGGGAGAGCTATGTCTTAGTTGTTAAGTGCTAGCAAACAGAATTATTCACTTTACACAGAGTGAGCGTTCTGTAACACACCTAACGTACTAATGAGCATAAGCAGAGGGCTTCATACATGTCTTAAGACTTTTACATTAACTTCACTCCGCTTTAAAACAAAGGTTTTGATATGATCTCTATTTCATAGCTGAGGAAACAGGACATACTATTAAGTGAGGTTATCAAGTCAGGCTTTAGAAGATGCAAAAGCTGAGATTCAACCTCAGGTAGATTGTTTCCAGAATTCATAATTCTCTTCTATGCCAAAATTACACGAAATCAGTCCACCACCTTCCACCCGTGTGTGTGTGTGTGTGTGTGTCTGTGTGTGTGTGTATGTGTCTGTGTGTGTCTATGTGTGTCTGTGTGTGTGCATGTGTCTGTGTGTGTGTGTCTATGTGTGTCTGTGTGTGTGTGTGTGTCTGTGTGTGTGTATGTGTCTGTGTGTGTGTGTCTATGTGTGTCTGTGTGTGTGTGTGTCTGTGTCTGTGTGTGTCTGTGTGTGTGTGTGTGTCTGTGTGTCACTGCTGTGCAAGATCATGCAGGCACTCTACCATCCCAGCCCACTGTATCTTATATGATTATTTATTTTCAGGCGCTGAAGAGATGGGTTAGTGGGTGCTTGCGGTGCAAGCGCAAGGATCTGAGCTCAAGTCCCCAGTGCCCACAGAAAACTTGGGCACGACTTCCTGTGGCACACACCTTTAATCCCAGCACTTGGAAGGAGAGGCAGGAGGATCCCTGAGTTCAAGGCCAACCTGGTCAACAGAGCGAGTTACAAAACAGCCAGAACTGTTACACAGACAAACCCTATCTCAAAAAAACCCAAAAAGCAGGAAAAAAGGTTGGGCACGGTGGCACATACGGGTTTGAGCCATTCCAGTTAGGACCCCCCCACACACACACACACCGCCCCCATACACACATACTCCCCCCCACTCCCCCACACCCCTTCCCCATTCTTTTGCCCCATGGTCGTGGGCCAGGTGCAAAGCGGCTCTCAGCTACTGCTCCAGCCCCATGCCCGACTTTCTCCCCACCATGGTAGTCGAGGACTAGCTCTCCGAAACTGTAAGTCTTCAGTTAAATGCGTTTTTATGCGTGGCCTTTGTCACAGCAATAGAGGCGTAGCCGAGACACACACCTACACCCCGGTGCTGTGGAAGCGGGTAGACTCCAGAGGCTCCCAGCCACTCAAACAAGAACACCGAGTGAGCCCCACTCAGTGAGAGGTCGTGTCTCAAAAGTCCAGTGGAGAGGCCAGAGGAAGACTCCTGAATTGGACCTGGCTTACACACACACACAGGCAAGCATACCTGCACACATATGTACAATCGTGCACACACCATAGACACACACTAAACATACACTGAAACAAAACCAAACCAATTACTTATGCTTTGGAAGATACTTGCCACGTAAGAACAGATTCGCGGTATGGAATGAAAACCCTCTTCCCGTTTGCTCGATCAGAGAGCGCAGATATGACCTTCCCCAGAGTCAGCAAAGACTTGTTAATGCTCACACCTTCCTGTGTGCAAGGGCAAAAATGGTATTTTTCTTAACATGTCAGCAACCAATTTATTCCATAAAATAAATACACTTCTCTCGTACAATTAGTGGTAAATACTTTCTTCCACAACTATCAACATTTTGTTGTGTTTGTTTTTCAACACAGGGTTTCTCTGTGTAGCTTTGGAGCCTGTCCTGGAACTCGTTCTGTAGACCAGGCTGGCCTCGAACTCACAGCCTCAGCAACACAGACCCCACCTTATAACAGAGAGAGGAGGAAATGGCGAGCAACCCCATCCTTACCTTCAGTCGCTCCCCACTGCTGTGGGCTGTAACACAGCGCTCACTGCCGGCCAAATCTATTAGGTTGATGCGGCTTGTGATCCTGTGGTCATGGTCTTCCCCTTCTACCTCCTCTGTCTACAGCATCACAGGGGACAGCGGAAGAGGCTTTAATGACTTACCATCCTTGCCATCAACATAAGCCTTTTTGGGGGTGGGGGGGGTGCTTTTCAACACAGGGTTTCTCTGTAGCTTTGGAGCCTATAATGGAACTCACTCTGGAGACCAGGCTGGCCTCAGACTCACAGAGATCCTCCTGCCTCTGCCTCCCAAGTGCTGAGATTGAAGCCCTGTGCTGCCATCACCCAGCTAACATACACCTTTAAGAGGCAAAGTTATTCAAGTTACAAGTTATTTATTTTTAAAACCACTTCAGGGCTGTCTTTTTTTTAAATTTTATTTTATATAACCAAGTCCACTTAAATGAAAACAAACATTTATAGACAATATTTGGGAATTTGGGCGCCGTTCTTTCCAAACTTCTTCTTCCTGCTGGTGAGGGGGAGAAACACTGTCTTGGAAAAAAAAAAAATGAAGACTAGAAACAGGAAAACATCGCTTATTTCATTTGTTGTTTATCTCGGCAGTATAACAACAAAAAATTTTAAATCAAATGTCTAACACCAGAGAAAAGTTCTAAAACTTTAAGAGTTACCTCTACAAAGAATTTCTATGCATGTGATTATTAAAAGTTATGTGAAATTTCATTGTGATTATAACCAACTGAAAGATTATATAACGAAACAGAAACTTGATGAGTGGAACCTATGGGTTATTTTCTTTTAAATCCATTACTCTTTTTTTCTGACCCGGTACGTGTATGTGTTATGTGTGTTATGTGCGTTATATGCACATGTGTGTGAATGTTCATGCACGTACACACGCATACGGAGCTGGAGACTAACCTCAGGGGTTTCTCTCCTGCACTGTCCGACCCTCCTTGCCCTGAAGTCTAGCACAGCTCCGGCGAGACCTATACCCTGTAAGTGCTTATCCAATACCAAGTGGTCAACTCCGAAATCATACTCCTAAAAACAAACTGAGTAGTGTGTGTGGGTGTGTAATAACAATTTAAAAAAAAAAAAAAAACAGAGGTCATGAATTGGCGAAGGAGCAAGGTGGGGGTCACGGGAGAGACTGGGGGAAGGGAAGGGAGGAGGGGGAATAATGTAATTACATTTTCTTTAAAAACACTATTAATCGCAATAAAAATACCTTGGTCTGGGCCATCACCAGGGTGAAAACCGAGTGGGATCGAGAGCTTTTGTCGTTCATGCCGGTAGCCGCCGTTGCTCTTTGCTTATTTCCCAGCTCCAGCCAACTCTGAGAACAAAGAGCCAGGCCAGGCCAGCCACTGTCATTTGTTTGGAAAATTTAAGTAACAAAAAAGGAAATACAATTGATTCTTATATACATTTGTAACTTCCACACTGTTATTTTTCAATCATTTGCAAGGCCACTGCCTCTCTTTTTTTTTTTTTTTTTTTTTTTTTTTTTGTTCTGCTTGTTTCTGTCACAAAAACCTGTACCAGGAAATAATGCCCTTAAGAGGCTTTTTCTACCCTGGTCTATGGAGTGAGTTCCAGGACAGGCTCCAAGGCTGCAGAGAAACCTTGTCTCGAAAAACCAAGAAAAGAAAAAAAGCTTTTTCTAATTAAAAAAACCTTTTTCTAAAGTGACACGATGTCACTTTATTTTAACTGAGAAAATCAACTAGTTTGATTAAAGCTTAACATGCAGACTTAGCTCACAAGATTTTCCTTTTACTCATCACAACAATTCAGGAGAAATAGTCTCATAAATGTTTATCACTGTGTTCTATCTACTTAAAATAAGATAAAATAAAATATAACCCATCTTACCTGAATATCAGAGTAAGAACTGACAACGTTCCTATTTTTAAAAAAGTAAAAAGACAAAAAACAATTTTAGTGATGATTTTACTCTTGTTCTTATAATTACTAATCTTTCAATAACTACTAACAATCTTAACGAACTAATTCACAAACATTATTATACTAGATTTCTCTAAGACATTTCCTTAAAAAGACAAAAAAACATGATAATGCCTTAAATTTTACCAGGGATTATGATTTTTTTTTCTTACTAAAGCCCCTTGGAATTATAATATTATAATATTCTACTGCATGCAGAATACACATGTATGGGTGTAGGTACACACACGTCCAACAGAATCTAGTTATGAACAGGGCTGAATGTACACTGACTGCTTTCCCTTTCCTTGATGAAAAGAACTATCATGCTGAAAGACAGGGAATGACTTAAGGCAGGTGTGAAACTCTTCACTCAGCCTGAAAGTAATTGGAATAAAAAGTAAATGCAAAGATCCTTAGTTGACAGGGGAAGATGAGATTAGAAGGAAATCCATATTTAATGCTCAGATTATACCAACACCTGCTATCAGGCACTTCACAGATATCTGGAAAGACACAGAAAAGCAGTTAGATGACAGGTTTCGGAGCTGTGATGGCAAAGGCAGTGTGTAAGGACCGCGGGCGAGCATGCTCTCTCTCTAGTCATCGGCTCTCCCGCTCGAGCTGGCTGAGCAGACACTTACATGGACAGACCTTCAACGTATGGTCCAGAGACAGGGCACTCCCTCACTCTCAGCTGGAGAAAGAAACATTCATCTTTAAGAATGGGACAAGTATTTAGTAGGAAATACAATTCTGAGTCTTTATTTTTATATTCAGGTTTAAGATAGAGCTTTATCTTTACTCTATCCAGAAAAAAATACAAAAGTTCTCAGGAAATACATAAGACACTAAGAAATGTCATCAACAGAAAGAAATATTTACAGTATCATAACATACAGTGTGCACATGTCTAAATTTTTATCCTTAAGTTAAATCCTACAACAGCTGTTATATATGCTTTTAAATCTAAAACAAATTCACTGTAAACTTCAGATATTAAAATTTTTCACCTATACTTTAAACTTTATCCAGAAAATTTAAAATGCATAGAAATCATTGAACAAAATTTTAAGTTTCTCAGTGTTACCAACTTCATAATATTGGGGAAAGAAAATTATTTTAGAATTTCCATTTCTTATGCTGAGAGGTCCTTCATAAAATTAAAACTTAATTCTAAATGCAGTTTTGTTCTGTTTTTTAACTGAAATCTATTTCACAGATGATCTACAAAGCATCAAATAAGTCAGGTGGTAGGTGGTGGTACATGTCTTTAATCACAGAACTCAGGAGGCAGAGGCAGGCCGATCTCTGTGAGTTCAAGGACAGCCTGGTCTACAGACATCGTTCCAAGACAGGCTCCAAAGCCACACAAAGAAACCCTGTCTCCAAAATAAAACAAAATAAATAGAGACTAGGGCACTAACTCGGTGAAGTGGTGGTTCTCACAAGTGAGGAGACCAGATTTAATCCCTAGGAAGCAAATGAAAATGTCTGTCACAGTGGCACACACTTGTATCCCCAGCACTGGGGAAGCTAACCTGGTCTAACTGGTGAGCTCTAGGCCAATGAGCCGCTGTCTCACAGTAGGTAGACAATATTGTGAGGGTATTTGAGGCTGTTCTCTGGCCTTCACATGCAGGCAGACACACATTCATTTGTGCACACACACATGCATTTTAAAAGTCAAATAATCCATTTAAATGAATATTCTAGAACACTGGTTTCTCAACCTTGCTGTGACTTTTAATATAGTTCCTTATGTTGTGGTGACCCCCAACCATAACATTATTTTCATTGATACTTTATAACTGTAATTTTGCTACTGTTATAAATGATAATATATAAAATCTGATGTGACCCCTGTGAAAGAATATTATTTGATCCCCAAAGGGGTCATGACCCACATCTTGAGAATCACTGTTCTAGAGTACAATTTTTAAAGCTTTTAGATTTTTTGGGCTCGCAAACTATTAGAAATTTCGTATTTGACTCACACAGTCTTACTAGGGAAAATATTTTATTTTTAACTTTTAGATAAAATTAAATTAAATTATTTATTTATTTACTTGTGGTTTTGAGACAGGGTTTCTCTGTGTAGCCCTGGCTGTCCTGGAACTCACTCTGGAAGACCAGACTAGCCTTGAACTCAAGAGATCTGCCATGCTCCACCATTCCTGGCTACTTGATTAAAATTAATTTCCCTTGTGCTAATGTTCAGATACTTTCAGTTACCAATGTAACAAATGCCAAGCCCTTGTTATCACGGGAAAGTATTTTTTAAAGAAATTAAAGCCATGTTCTCACAAATATATGCAGTTACACAGAGAACTGGACACAAATGATAACTAAGTCAGCAGGGAAAGGGCTTGTCCGCAAGCGTGACGACCTGAGTCCAACCCCTGGGATCCGCATGGCGGAGACTGGATTCCGGCGACTTGTCCAGACTTCCCCAAGCGTGCACTGGCAGGCGCTCCCACCGCTATCCCCCGTAAGCAGGTGAGTCAGCAGTAAAAAGGATTTAACTCTTACTGGTTGTTTTCTCTTCGAGTTTTCACCTTTACACACCAGAAGGTCGTGAATCTTCTCATTATAAACTTCAAAGAAGCTCATTTCAAGATGGTAGCTGACCTGGACGGACAGAGACAAAGTACTCAATTTACTCTAAAATCCCTTGCGTTTCTGCAAATCACATGTCTGATACGGATACAGATCCAGAATACATGGAAGACTTTTACCACCAACGCAACATAAAAAATACAGTTAGAAACCAGGCAAGGAACTTGAACAAACGTCGCTCTAAACACACGAAGGGGGCAGCATCACTGCCAGCCCAGCGGGAAAATGCCGATGAAAACGACACTGAGGCAGCACGGCATACCCATGAGGACGCTGTACACAACAACAAATGGGGCTGAGTGACGCTCGCCACAGCAGGGAGTGTCTGAGTGACACAGCGGGGAGCATCTGAGTGACACAGCGGGGAGCATCTGAGACAGCGGGGAGCGTCTGAGTGACACAGCGGGGAGCATCTGAGTGACACAGCGGGGAGCGTCTGAGACAGCGGGGAGCATCTGAGACAGCGGGGAGCATCTGAGACAGCGGGGAGCATCTGAGACAGCGGGGAGCATCTGAGACAGCGGGGAGCATCTGAGACAGCGGGGAGCGTCTGAGACAGCGGGGAGCATCTGAGACAGCGGGGAGCGTCTGAGACAGCGGGGGAGCATCTGAGACAGCGGGGAGCATCTGAGACAGCGGGGAGCATCTGAGACAGCGGGGAGCGTCTGAGACAGCGGGGAGCGTCTGAGACAGCGGGGAGCATCTGAGACAGCGGGGAGCATCTGAGACAGCGGGGAGCATCTGAGACAGCGGGGAGCGTCTGAGTGACACAGTGGGGAGCATCTGAGACAGCGGGGAGCATCTGAGACAGCGGGGAGCGTCTGAGTGACACAGTGGGGAGCATCTGAGTGACACAGTGGGGAGCATCTGAGACAGCGGGGAGCGTCTGAGACAGCGGGGAGCGTCTGAGACAGCGGGGAGCATCTGAGACAGCGGGGAGCATCTGAGACAGCGGGGAGCGTCTGAGTGACACAGTGGGGAGCATCTGAGACAGCGGGGAGCGTCTGAGACAGCGGGGAGCATCTGAGACAGCGGGGAGCGTCTGAGACAGTGGGGAGCATCTGAGACAGCGGGGAGCGTCTGAGACAGCGGGGAGCATCTGAGACAGCGGGGAGCATCTGAGACAGCGGGGAGCATCTGAGACAGCGGGGAGCGTCTGAGACAGCGGGGAGCATCTGAGACAGCGGGGAGCGTCTGAGACAGCGGGGAGCATCTGAGACAGCGGGGAGCATCTGAGACAGCGGGGAGCGTCTGAGACAGCGGGGAGCATCTGAGACAGCGGGGGGAGCGTCTGAGACAGCGGGGAGCATCTGAGACAGCGGGGAGCGTCTGAGTGACACAGTGGGGAGCATCTGAGACAGCGGGGAGCGTCTGAGACAGCGGGGAGCGTCTGAGACAGCGGGGAGCGTCTGAGACAGCGGGGAGCATCTGAGACAGCGGGGAGCGTCTGAGACAGCGGGGAGCGTCTGAGACAGCGGGGAGCATCTGAGACAGCGGGGAGCGTCTGAGACAGCGGGGAGCGTCTGAGACAGCGGGGAGCATCTGAGACAGCGGGGAGCATCTGAGACAGCGGGGAGCGTCTGAGACAGCGGGGAGCGTCTGAGACAGCGGGGAGCGTCTGAGACAGCGGGGAGCATCTGAGACAGCGGGGAGCGTCTGAGTGACACAGTGGGGAGCATCTGAGACAGCGGGGAGCGTCTGAGACAGCGGGGAGCGTCTGAGACAGCGGGGAGCGTCTGAGACAGCGGGGAGCATCTGAGACAGCGGGGAGCGTCTGAGACAGCGGGGAGCGTCTGAGACAGCGGGGAGCATCTGAGACAGCGGGGAGCGTCTGAGACAGCGGGGAGCGTCTGAGACAGCGGGGAGCATCTGAGACAGCGGGGAGCATCTGAGACAGCGGGGAGCGTCTGAGACAGCGGGGAGCGTCTGAGACAGCGGGGAGCATCTGAGACAGCGGGGAGCGTCTGAGACAGCGGGGAGCATCTGAGACAGCGGGGAGCGTCTGAGTGACACAGTGGGGAGCATCTGAGTGACACAGTGGGGAGCATCTGAGTGACACAGCGGGGAGCGTCTGAGACAGCGGGGAGCGTCTGAGACAGTGGGTTAGGTCACATGGAAATTCACTGTTTTATGAGCTTATTAAAGCTATAATTAAAAAAAGTATACCCCATGGATGAATAATGTTCCTCCCAGAAGCCATGGCTTATTAAACAAAAGTCTTGGTGCCAGGTGGGAGACAGCTCCCTACAAGTTATCGGATGGGGAAGCATTAAAGGCTCCCAAACCATACAGGCTCATGCTGTTGCTTAGTTGCCCACCAGAACTAGATGGCACACCTTTATTGCTGAGGACACTACCATACAGCTACACAGAAAGCAAGATGGAACTGGTTGGAAGCCCCCGGAGTAGCGAGCATTCACAGGGACAGAGTTGTTATATAAAACTCAAGTCTTTCTCCCAACGTGAATCTCACGGGCTACAATAACGACCTGCCAGACGATCTGTGCCCTCTGGTACAGTAATGGCATCGCTGGTTTGGGGTAATTAACTGCTCCACAGCAGGGACTCATGCCTGGCTCTAGAAACTGAGTCAAAGGCCTATGCCTGGGGAGGTCCCAGGTACTAGGGGTGAACTAACTACTGCTGCTTCCCTCAACAGTCATGATGTCACACTGTTAGCTCCTTGTCATGATTTGTCCACCTCGAGTCCCAAGTCCCAGCCAGTGTTTTATTTAAATCTAGTATTATTTTCCTTCAACTCATTTCCACATTTCAGACAGGAATATATACAAATACATATGAATAAATATGAGGATCAATCAAAACTAAGTATATGAAATGCCATAAAGAAATCTGTTTCTTTTCTTTTTCTTTTCTAGACAGGGTTTCTCTGTATTGCTTTGAAGCTGTCCTGGAGTGCCCACTGTAGACAGTCTGGCCTTGAACTCACAGAGATCCACCTGCCTCTGCCTCCTGAGTGCCCCATCACCACCTGGCTCAGAAATCTGTTACCTTTTAATGTTGATTAAAATATAAAATACCAGAATTGGTAGTATACACCCAGAGGCTGGGAGATCTCTAGAAGTTCAAGGCCAGTGTGGTCTACATAGCCAAGGTTTCATAGTTAGACTTTGTTAACTAAGAGCTGGCTCAGCAGTTAAAGTGTTTGCTGCACAATCAGGAGAATCAGAGTTTGGAAAGCCAAACTCATGTAAATGTTGGGCAGGCCTGTGGTCCATCTATGATTCCAGCCTTAGAGAGCGGAGACAGAGGCTTCCTTGAACAAACCAGCTAGCAAGAATAGCTGTAGCAGCAAGCTTTGGGTTTGATTAAGAGACCCTGAATCGGGCTAGAGAGATGGCCCAGTGATTAAGAGCACTGGCTGCTCTTCCAGGACCCAAATTCAGTTCCCAGCATCCATAGGGCCGCTCATACCTAACTCCAGTGGCACAGGATCAGACACCCACATGCAGACATGCATGCCAGCAAAACACCAATGAATATAAAATTAATAAATAATAAAAACAGAGAGGGAAAGAGAGACAGACACACATGTATACATGATGCACACCCCTACACGTGTGCCCGAACACATAGGCATATACATACATACACATGCATGCACCCCCTACACACACACACACACACACACACACACACGAAAAGAACAAAAGTTAAAAGATTATTTTTTAAAAAAATAGGGATATGTTGTTTCCCTGTTTAAAACCTTCCCATGGCCCAAAAATGTCCGGAGCTTGGCTTGTGAAGCCTTCCAAGAGCCAGCCTCTGCCTGCCTGGCCTCTAGTTTCATCTCTTGCCACCCTCCACCCTCAAATCCCACTCACATCAAAGTAAACAGTTTACACATTCTGCAAGGCTCCCTGCTTTGATTCTCATCTTGGTGCCAGCTGGCCCTCTGCGTGGAGTGTCCTTCCGGCTTTTCCTTCCCAAGCCAATAACCCTTCCAAGACGAGAGCAGCTGTCCCTGCTCCTCAGAAAACTGGCCTCCGATTCACTCACTGTCCTGTTTGCTGTGCTTTGCATGTAACCCTCAAACGTTCATACTTTGTGGGATAACCAAATAACCCAAATTCTCTCTCGTGTGCATGCTGTTTGGAGGGAAGACCTTTAGGAGGCAATTAGGGGCAGGAAGTTTCCCAGGGTAAGACCCTATTATGATAGGAGTAACGGTTAAGAGGCAAGCCAACACACCCTGTCATGTCATGATGTAAGAAGGCCCACACCGTGACAGCGTCTTGACATTGGGTTTCCAGTACTGTGAGAATCTTTACTTTTACAAATTTACCTTTGCTATGATACAACAGAAAAAGGGCTAATACAATGTAACAACATAGCCTTTGCTTGACTATAGTTGGCACGTAATTGATTATACTTGGCTGTACACTGGTCCATCTCTTCTGTTTCTCTCTCCTGACTATGGAGAGTCCATGCCCCCAAGTCTACTGTATGCAAGGATAGAAGCTATACATTCTCATGGCCGCACTCTACGGCAACTGACATGGGTTCTCCAGGAGAGATTTAGCGAGACACGCCTGCTCCCATCAGACCCGATGACACTCATGATCATCGTGACAAAAAGCTAGGCACTCCCTGAGGGAGAAGGAGTGAATGAGACAGGAAGCCAGCAGACTATTCTGTTGCAGAGTGGCCGAAGGGCCTGGCTTTTAAAGCTGTCTGGGTCCCACTCTGGCTCACTAACCCTTTGTCTCAAGTTGCCCAAGTGTTGCCTACTGTGTCCGGCTAAGTCTGTGTGTGTACCTACTCGACTACAGATCTATGTGCTACACCAAAGGACCACGTGGAGAGGAGAACACCATCTGTTAGACCTCGTGATGGGTCAGAGGTCAGGGGATTTGAATTTGAGCATACCTGGGAGGTTTGCTTTTTGGCTACTTGAGCAAAAAGATCTTCACAAAATCTGGGAATTATTCCTGGCTCTTCATTAAGTCCCATCATCCTGGAAATACATTATGAACAAGAAGAAAGAGACACTGATTAGTTTTGGAAATCTTAAAAATATTCTTTTAGGAGAAGTGGTCTGGGACGGGAACAGAGAACGTGCAATCCCATCACTAATAACTAAGAGTCTAGGCTCCGAGGCCAAATCTGCCCCATCTAAATTGTACTTCTCTTCAAGTCAGGCTCTCATGTGCCCCAGCTGGCCTCAAACTCACTATGTAGCCTTGGATTTCTTCTGTTGGGGGGGATGGATAGGGGGCGAGGGTGAGCTCGAATTGAACCTAGAATCAGGCACCTAGTGTGCATGTGGTTTATGGACATACATGCAGGCAAAACACCCATAAACATAAAAGGTTAAATTAAAATAAACTATATAAGTCACAGCAAAACAGAAACAATTATATTTACAAAGTAAATTACTGAATGTAAAGTAAAGCCTAGAGAGTCAAGTGTCTGCCTAAGTATAGAAATTTAGTCTAGAACAATGGATGAGACCCCAGCACAAATCTGTATGATGTCAAAACTATAAACTATTTTTTCTACAGCCATGACACTGACAGAAGAAAAAACGTAAACCTTTTCAGATAGTTGCACGATCAGTGTCACTTACGTGTACGACTTTCCGGAGCCCGTCTGGCCGTAAGCAAAGAGACAGGTATTGTAACCTTCAAAAGCTCTTTGTAGGAGTGGTACCGCCAGCCTCTCATACACCGTCCTCTGGCTAGCATAGCCAGGGTGACAGTCATCAAAAGACCAGAACGAAACATCGTAGGTAAAACTATACACTTGCTTCATGTCGGGATGCTCCACGGTGATTTCTTCCCCACTTCTGAAGACAACCTGGGATGTTCTCTCCATCTTCTCGCTTTGGAAAGAAGCACACACAACAATGTGCCTGTCAGCACTATGACCATCATCTCCACAGAACACAAGGAAGGCCCCTCGAAGCTTAAGGGCAAGACAATCCTTTACCTTTCTGCAGAAAATCAGGGAGCCAGGCTCAGTGGGTCCCCAAAATGCCTGCTTGTCTCGAGTACAGCTACTCAAGGGGAAATCGGAATTTCAAATTCCTTCTTCGTAAAACCAATTTTCTAAAGTTTTCTATGGAGAAGTTTTAAAAGGTTCTCATCCTATGTATACATTTCAATTCAAATCATGAAATGTCTTTTTAGACTACAAAAAAGGTATGGAGGTAAAAAAAAAAAAAAAAAAAAAAAAAAAAAAAAAAGAACCTATATAAAGCTGGCATAAACTATGAATACAATTTTAATGAACCTGGAGCAACACAAATTTAAATCTGAAGTGTCACTGTTAATACTGTTAGCAATTCTTTGCATGAGATTCCCTCATTAAAATCTCCATGTCCATCCTTCTATCCCAGACTTACAAATCTTCACATACTCAGTAGAAAAACACTAGTACTGGCCCAAGTGTCAGCCTCTTCTCCCTTCCCGCTCCTTCCCGCAAGGATCCGCTTGAAAGGCTCATTTAGCCTGCAAACCCTCTGCCTCACCGGTCTCCTGAGTGCCACGCCCACCCCCAGCTTTCAGAGCCTTGGTCCGTGACTTCCCAGGGTCACCTATCACGCTTGGGGCTCGTCTTTCCACGGCCTCTCTTCCTGGCACGGCTCGGAAGCTTCCCTTAGCTTCTTGACTTTCCCAGATCCCCTCACCCCAACTTTATGGACCCTGTCACCTTACCTCTAACTACTGAGTCTTTCCAGTCCCTTCACTGAAACAGCAGTCACCACGTACACTGCTAGGTTACTTAGGTACACGTCACACTACTGACCCCGTGACAAGTTTACTGTCTTCCCTTAAAAGTATTTAAAAGTAATTCTATTCCATGCTCACATTTTATATCTACTTTAAAAAAAAAACAAAAAAAACAAAAAAACTTTTTTTTAAAGACAGGGTTTCTCTGTGTAACATCCCTGGCTGTCCTGGAAACTCACTCTGTAAACCAGGCTCGTCTTGAATTTAGGGAATTGCCTGTGAGTGCTGGGATTAAAGGCATGACCACCAGACCCAGCTGATTTTTATTATTATTATTATTATTATTATTATTATTATTATTATTATTATTTTAATCTTATCGTTAATCTGTGGCTATTGCAACCATAAACACCTTTATAGATTTTGATGGCATGGAATATTTCTATAAAGTGTGAAAGCCTCCGTGTTTATTACCACGACATATCAAATACAGGTGACACTGTTGACTATCACCATTCTGGAACATTTTGGGGGAAGCTATGAACTGGTGTGGCTCCTTTTAAAGGAAAGGCAGACATTACCAACCTCTACAAGTCATGAGTATGAAAGGAGACTGCATTACATACAGAATTCAAGGACTCTCTCAGCAACAACCCTTCAGAACGGAACCTCACTCACTCTGTGGCCTTGACTACAAGCCTGGAACTTGCTAAGTAAACCATGACAGCCTTGAATTCAAAGACCCACCCGCCTCCACCTTCCAAACGCTGTGATTAAAGGTATGCGCAATTATGCCTGGCTCGGCTTCTACAAGCAATATGTCTAGGAGCATGGATACAAAGTACAGATTTTAATTTTTGTAGTCTATCATAAAAAGCATCAGTGTACTACAGTTAAGCCTAAACATTGCTGGGCTGGGGATACGGCTCAATGGTAGAGCCTTGGGTTCAACTCCCAGCACCATGAGAAAAATTCCAGCAAGGTTGAAGACACAAGACTGCTACACTCTACTAAAAGCAGAGAGGGATTAAAGACACATGGTGACGTGGGACTGATCTGGCCTGAGAGCTGAAACCTTGGACATACCGTTTGCTGAAAGGCCTCACTCGAACAGCCACTGTCACTTGACTATTTTCTACCCTTAAGGGGTCTGCTTCCGTGAAGGTATTCTGAAGAGCCGATTGTTCTTCTGGAGGGAGCGTACTTTCTTGTGAGCGGTCCCTTTTATTTGCAAGAAGAGAACTTTTGGGCCTTTGTCTAACCTGAGGGCTTGCCACCCTGTTTCTCAGGGTAGATACGGCTGGGCTTTTAGGCGGAGGCAGGTCATGCCTCGGTGTCAATCTGTGTTGGGAAACACATCGCACAGGCGCCCTTGTTTCCAAGCTTCCACACTTCAGGACAGTTTTTGCAATGTCCTTCCCGCCATTTCCATGGTGTGACTCTCCTGCTCCTGACACTCTGACATCGAGCTTGTCCTCAGTGGGTTTCACTGCTGGGTGACCTGATCTCACCGAGACAGTTTGACACTGGGAGCCGGCAGGCAGACCGATGTTTGAGTTCTTAACTGTCTCCCTTTCATTTGCTGTACCGAGGGCAGGAAGTGTGTCTTTGCGTTCTTCACCAACCATCATTCCAGCGCCACTTGAGCCTTCCGTGGACACTACAGGGGGCATGGCACCAGTGTTGTGGTTGCTCACAAGCTTGGCTTTGGTCCTAGTTCCCTGTGAAGCACAGATATTTTCCGTGTCACCTCCCACGGTACACGCTGTTCCCAACTTTTCCACGAAATCTGTTTTAGCATGATGACGACGTTGTAACCTGAGACTTGTGTCTGTGTTTTGCCCAGTGGTGTCTCCCAACTCACTACCAAGTAAAGAAGACTCTTTGTTCCAAGTAGCCCTTCTCTGAAGGGTCAGTCTACTGCGGTCAGGGGCAACCGGCATCTCTCTTGCTTTTTTACAGGCAGAGATAATGTAAGTGCTATTTATGTCTCTGGTTTTACTTCCAGCACTCAGCACTGGACCATGATTCTCACTCTCTGACGTATTTGACTTCAGGTGTGTTCTAAGTCGGCTGCTGTGGGTGAGGCCACTTGGCGACGAGCTTTTCTGATAGCCCTCCAGGCTGTCACTGTCCTGTCTGTTAAGCGAAGTGTGTACCGACATCTTGGCAGCGAGTTATTTTAAAAGGGATGTTAAGTTTAACCACTTTAGGCTCTTGTTTGATTGCTGGACATTTTGGGCTTTTCAGTTTCCAAAAGTAGTTGATCAACTACAAAAAAGAAAAACAGTTACTACAAACTCCACAAACTATAGAAGCAGATTCTCAGAGGTATGCATTAGACCAAATCACACCTCCCACCTCCCCGGAGCTCCGGACTACCTCTGCCCTCAGAAAGCTTTCACTCACTATTCAACAAATATTTACTGCCACGGGCATTCCATACCACGAATTGCATGTACAGCCACGTGTGATGGTCCTGGCCTGTAATTGCAGCCTCGGGGAAGCTGAAGTAGGAGAATGGAACTTTGAAGGCCAGCCTGACCATGTATATTGCAAGCAGGAGCCTGTCATCGATGCCCACTCTCCCCCTCAAATTAGATACATGGATTGCCATCTATTCGTTATACAACAACCTAGCCAGGCATGTGTGCAAATACCGGTAAACGTCGGCCAACAATGTCTATTGGGCATTACTTTAAAAAGAACAGCGGCACTCTCCCGGCTGTGAGCCCGCTAAAAATCACGCCCCTTAAAAAGGTGTAAAACAAGTCTTTAACGCTGAGTCTATCTTACACAACGACGCTGCTTCAAACTAATCCAAGCACTGTTACAAAACAAGGGACAAATGACCAGAACTCGTTTTAAAAAGCCTTTTAAGGTTTGACATAAGTAAGAGGCATCGCTGCAACAGACAAACAAACAAGGGTCCAACTACAAGCATCCACAGCCAACCTTTCAACGGAAAAGACAGAAGCAGCCGCCCATTACGAAGAGGCGACAGATTCCCTGGGTCTCAGACTAAAAGCCATTTGCTTTCCTGCACCAATGCATCAGCGCGCTCTCTGCTTGCAGGGCTCGGCCACCGGCTTTTTCCAGGACAGAGGGCTGGAAGGAAGGAAGGAAGGGAGGAAGGAAGGAGACAGGACAGTCGGGGGCGCCCACAGGCCGCGCGGCTCCCCACACCCCCGGCCCCCGGCCCCCGGGACAGCGTGCCTGGACCCCTGGGCCCCGGGACGGACCGAGGGGAGGGGGCGCCCCGCGCCCAGCCGCGCTCCCGCGCCCGCCGGGCGAGCAACCGCAGCGCTCGGGGCCGCGAACCTCCTCCCTGCGAGCGCCCAGACGCGCAGCACCCACCATTCCCGGAGCTGCTCCCGCGGCCGCAGCGATTCGAACGCGCGCCTCGCCCCCTGATTGGTTGCTGGGCGCGCGTCAAGCGCCGCGCCTCGCCCGCTGATTGGTTGCGGGGCGCGCGTCAAGCGCCGCGCCTTCGCCCCGCCCACCGGAAGCGAGTCCCTTCCGCGAGGCCGCCCCGCCCTCGTCTCCTAGGCGACGCCCGGCGCCTGCTCTGGGCTCCACCCGACCCCGGCAGCGGCAGCCGCAGTAGAGGGCTTGCAGCTGGGCTCGAAGATGGAAGGGAATGGCCGTGTGCATGCACCCGCGTTAATTACAACAACACACCCGCTGTTTCACGCGCTAGCCGCCGAGCGATGGCAAGGGCCGAGGGTCTTGGATGAATTGAAAATATTTCATCCTGAAAACCTTATGAAGTATTAACGCTGCCCGGCCTGAATGTAGATAAGGAACCGAGGTTTGCAAACGTGTGCGTGATCTCACCGCCAGCTAGAGGTGTGGTTCGAAGTGTAAAGCTGTTGCGGTAAAGGTTACAATAGCTTAAAAAAAAAAAAAAAAAAAAACTGGAGAAAAAAAAAGGTAATCCCTAAAATAACCATCTCAATATGTATTCCAAATGAACAGTATGGAGATAATTGAAATTATTCAACAAGACAGAAAAGGAAGCCAGAAGTAGCTTCACCTGCATGAAAAGTTACACGATAAAGTAGTCATTTTTTTCTAATACTTTTATTTGTTCCTTGACAATTTCTTTCTTTCTGTTTTAAGTGTATGGGTCTTCTGCCTGTACGCATGTCTGTGCACCATGCTTCTGGTGTCCACAGAGGCCCTGGAACTGGGGTGCTGGGAATTGAACCCAAGTCCTTCAGAAGAACAAGCAACGAGTGTGCTCTTAACCATCTCTCCAGCCCTCATTCTTAAATCCCTAAAAATCTTAAAATATACCCATGGGGAAATCCTCCAAATAAAATATATTGTTTATCAGATCAATTGAGAAACCATTCAGCTAGTAGTAAGAAGATGTGATAAGGAAAAAGACTAATAAATTCAATACATGAGGATTTCAAAATCAAGTATAACTCAAAACATAAGTAAGTGTAAGATAACTAGGGAAATATGATATATAAGTAAAAAATCTTCAACTTAGATGACAATAACTTCATAATAGACTATAACCTGGGTAAAGATGCTTCATTACAAAAAAGAATTCACACACATACGAAAAGAAAAAAACTTCATGTAAAACAAAAGGCAAGCATTCCAGACCTTAAAAAGATAGGTATGTATTAAAAAATCTTCTTAAGTTTTGGGGCTGGTAATTTGTACAAAAATTCAAAGTCTAAATTTCTAGTCGTATTCATTGGCATGTTTCTTGAGGTCAGAGGCATGTCTATTCACTGTCTCTCTAGAGTTCAGTATAGGGACTGATATGTAATAATGCTCAGTAAACATTTGTCAAATAACAAATCCTAAACCTGTAAAAACATACAGACATCTGTTGGGAATTTAAGTCCTTGTCCCTCACACCTCTCTTCCTCCCCACCCAGCTGTAGAACTCCCGTGCTCTCAAGGTTGATCAGATAAGGTTGTTCTCACAACTTTCCGGTGTGCAGGGCCTTGACCCCAGGTGTGGGCGGTGCATGATTCCTCCTATGCTTAGCCCATCCCCTGGCTTGGGTAGATAAGCCCATCACTCTCTGTAATAAAGGGCAGCAGCTTCCTCTTCAGTTCTCTTGGTGGTCCGTTAAGTGTTTCAATCCCGACACCCTCCGCCAGCTCGGTACTCTGGCCGTGCTGGTGCAGCAGTTATATAGGTCAGAGACTTACCAGAGACAGCCTCCTTCCTCGGTGGGATCTGGGGGCTGGACTCAGGTGGTCCAGCACGTGTATGTCAAGTGCCTTTACCTGCTGAGCCATCCTGCCCACATCAAATCCTGAACAACCTATCCCCTCGCCTTTTAAAAACATAAAGCAAGTGTTTAATTTTAAAAGCCTTGTATGTACATCTTCTTTGCATGCACGCTGTATGTGTATGTGTCCCAACCTAACTCGTACAAATTCCATTCCTTACAAAACAGACATAACCTGACGGGCCCGTGATTCCTGCTCCATCACTGCCCTGCAACTTCCCTTACGTCTCTCTGCTTGCATTTTGTTTTCAGCCATTTGGAAGTGGCCCTCCCTTTGTTCTGAATGTCACCTGCATGTGCTCCTTGGTGCCCAGGTAGCTGTCAGGGAGCAGATATACTCACCCTACTTCTGCCTTCCCCTCCAAGAGCCCCACTCAGATACATTCAGAAACAGGGTTTAGAAATTCTGCAGCATGAACCGGGCTGAGGACAGATGAACTCGTTCCTTGAGCAAAAACCCATCCCAAGGCAGGCATGACTGAGCACTCCTATGATCCCAGCGCTCCAGAAATAGATGCAGGAGGTGGCTGTAAAGTTTAGGGCCAGCTGTATCTAGTTCTACACTGTCTAGGCAAAGTAGACAAAACAAATAAGCTGCGTGGTAGTCCCCAAAACAATTTTTTAAAGTTCCACTAGATGTCGCCAAAATGAAAGAAACCATGTAGAGTGAAGCCTCACGCAAGCCTACGTTAATTGGCCTTCATCGACAGTCTTTCGCGCACGCACAATCTGTTATAATTTTCATTTCACAGTTTTACTTTCAGTGCTGGCGATCAAACCCAGTTATTGCACGTGCTGTTCACAAGTTCTATCTTGAAGCCACATCAATAGCCCTTGGGTTTTTTGAAACAGGGTCTTACCATGCTGCTGAAGCCGGCCTTGAACTCCTTATTCTGCCTCAGCCTTCTCAGTGCTGGGATTACAGACTGGCGCACCAAGACCATGCACAAATGCTGGCTGGTTTTACTCCTTCGTAAGTATTTGCTCTTACTTGACGGTCCAGTGTCAAAGGGAAGGTTTTGATGAGCGGTAAGAACATTGAAACTTCCTGGTGCAGGACACATCCATTATCAAATGTCACCGTTTCCCGTACAGTGAGGCACACACAATCACTATTCTACAGGCGCAAGAGGCTGGTTTTCCACACAAATAATTCACCTTGTGCCTTGCACCTATTGATGAGGACACCCGGGGTCATTGTCTGTACTCCTCATCCCTTTCTGGAACAGACAGATGTCTTCATAGACTTTCTTACAAAAGGAGTCAAATCTATACAGGTGAAGATGTGTTAAAAACTGTTAGAGTTTTTGTTTTTGTTTTTTTAATTTTCTAATGTTGCAGTAGCTTCAAATTGTTTGCTTTGCTTTGTTTTTATTTTTCTGAGACAGGGCCTCACGCTGCAGCCCAAGATGGTCAGGACTTGTGGCAATCCTCCTGTCTCAGCTTCCAAAATGTTGGAATTACAAGCATGCACCACCACACCCACTGTAGTGAGACCTTTGTGATTTCTTAATGAGGCAGTCTAAGTCGTTCAGCGGGATTGCCCATCATTTTAAAAGGAGCAATTATGCTAGGCAGTAATCCCAGTTAGTGCATAAAAGAAAGGAGCCAGGGATTAGTGAATGTTACAGAATGCTCTTATGCTTTGACTCGGGGACCACACACACACACACACACACACACACACACACACACAGAGTGCTTTCCTCTCTTGTTTTCTGAAGTGTGTTCCTCACGTCCCAGCCTCCCACACCTCCATCTCATGGCATTGTTCCCCTCAAATGAAGTGGAGGACTCAGGGACCAAAGAGGAAGAGAGCTTGGAAGTTAGTTCCTTTATTTTCTACAAGAATTAAGTGGAAAGTGTGCAGCTGTCCACTTGGATACGAGGATACAGTGGCTGGAGAAAGGCCACTCCCTAGGGATGAGA